GTCTCTTCTGTTATGTACCCATTGGGAAAACATCCCGCTGCTGAACGAATCAACCAAAACTGAAATGAAATACTACAGATAGGCACTACTATCGGTTAAAGACTGTGGAAATAGATATTCGACTGTTGTCGCTTATTCAATATTTTACAATTTATTTAATAAGACAAGAGAAAAGTCTACATGTTTCATTTTCACCGGTTATTAGCTATGAAACCCGGTTATCCGGTTATAACTGAAAGCAAAAAATAACTGGTTTTAACCGGTTAACCGAAAAGAAAACACCGGTTTTTCGGTTTTAACCACCGGTTATTGACATCCCTAGTTGGGGGTTGTATTTTTGGGAAAAAGATATTAGGGCTTATTCTGGATAATTTTTTGCATCAGTAAAATTCAGCATCCCCAAAAACCCCTCAATTCATGTATTTTCAAATTCTCAAGAGCTGATTTTACAAAAAAAAAAAAAATAGATATCAATTCACTTTTTGGAATAAGTTGTTTATTTCTAATGGTGAACCTCAAATTACAGATGACATTATTTTAGGATATTGTATTTTCAACATAGCTACCCTCTAATTAGAAATAAACAGCTTATTAGAAAAATTAAATTATTAGTATATTACATTACGAGTGTAGAAAGTGACAAATTTCACACGAGTGTATGAAAGATGATTTCTCACCAGTGATGTACATCATTTTTCCTACGACCAGAATCCGATTTACACCACTTTTTTTAAATTTTATTTCTCTTCATTTTCAACATATGTGCTGAAAGTACTTTCAATCCACGTATTGAAAGTAAATTATGATGTCAATCACAAATAATGTCAACAGTATTTTCCACACGTGTGCTGAACGTACTTTTAGCAAGCGTATTGAAAGTACTTTCAGCACGTATGTGATATTTCGCACTTTCCAAAGAACCAGCTAGTGCGGATTTTGTTATTTTCATGTGTGGTCGTAGGAAAAATAAATTTATTTATTTTTTTGCTATAATCATCTCTTGAGATTTTGGAAATATGAATTAAGGGGTTTTTAGGGATGCTGATTCTTAATCTGATGCTAAAAATTATCTAAAATAAGCCCTAATATCTTTTTCACAAAAATACAACCACTTTTCACCCCCTAACACCGCACGCCAATGGTAAATGAAAATGTTTACTATGTCAAATAGTTCATTTTTCTAACATACAATCACCACCAAAATTTGAATGAAATCGCATAATTAATAACTGAGATATCGGGGTATATTCATGAAAAGCGGGACACATTGTATATGATAATTTTGAAAATCAATCACTCAATAACTGATACAGACACTGGTGACACACAATAATTATAAAATCGTTTACACAACGATTATTACGACTACAAAAGTCAGAAGCAGAAATTTCCTGCCAATTTCTTTGAATAGTTCTGATTGGTCAGCCTTGAAATTCCGCATTCGAACGAGGCTCCGACTTCGCAAAGTTAGGTGATTTCGCGGGATTGCTGGCGATTTCGCAGGATTTCGCAAGGATTGCGCCCGATTTCGCAACGATTGCGCGCGATTTCGAATGACTGCGCAGGGATTTCGCGCGATTTGTAACAGTATTGCGCAGAGTGGTTCACCCCTCGCTGTTTGATATAGACAAGAAAAATGTGAATAATCCGAGATCTATTGTTATTAATCTTAACCTCGATCCTAACTCAAGTTTTCTTCAAATTTATTTTCAGATTTTATGATTTGTTTAAGTAGATTTCCAAATATCTCAGATTCAGAACAATGTCATGTGTATTTTAAATGGACAAGATTTTCAAGAATATAAAAATGAAATTTTCAAGGAAAAGTTTTAGACTCTATAGGCCTATCTTACTTTTTTACAGCTATTTTGATTTTGTCAAAAGAGCTAAAATTCCGGCTAAAATGCAACTCAGATGATAGAGGTAAGAGTTTTTGAGCACTTGTAACTATCAGATTGTATGATGGTTTCAATCCTTTTTCTTTGCATTTACAAACTTTCAATCCAGCTCCTCCAACATTCTCCTAAAAAAAAAAATGAAAAATGAAAAATGAAATGTCCGTCAATGTAAATTTTTTGGAAATTTTATTTTTCCAAAATGAAAATAACACAAATTTTGCCTCATAATTTTGGTAATTTTTCAATCCTAACGTAATTAGGCCCAAACTAGCAGGGTTAGCTTGGCAAAAACCCAGATTTTTGAAAATTTCCATTGGGTGTTTCTCATTTTTTGGGTTTTTACACTGAGACCGTTTTTGCCCTACAGCTCCGTTAATGCTTATCCGATTTCAATGTAATTAAGCTCTAGTTAAAGCTAATTAAATTATCTACAAACCTGTTAATTAAGATTTTAATTTGGTTTCAACAGCTTTGCACCTGAGAAGCTTCAAAATTAAATTTGTCGAGCTTTGAAGATTTTCCAAAAATGACACTGAGAATGTTTTTGCTTCACAGCTCCTTTAATTCCCATCCCATTTCAATGCGATTAGGCTCTAATTGGAGCCAATTGAATTCTCTACAAAACTGTTAATTGAGATTTTAATTTAGTTTCGATAGTTTTGTAGCTGAGAAGCTCCAAAATTGAAATTATCGAACATTGAAAATTTTCTAAAAATGACACTGAGACAATTTTTGCCTCAGCTCCGTTATTAATTTTCATCAGATTTCAAAGTAATTAAGCTCTAATTGAAGTCAATTGAATTCTCTACAAAACTGTAAATTGAGAATTCAATTTGGTATCAACAATATTGCACCTGAGAAGCTTCAAAATCTAATTTGTCGAACTTTGAAGATTTTCCAAAAATGACACTGAGAAAGTTTTTGCTTCACAGCTCCTTTAATTCCCTTCCGATTTCAACGCGATTAGGCTCTTATTGAAGCCAATTGAATTCTCTACAAACCTGTCAATTGAGATTTTAATCTAGTTTCAACAGTTTTGTTGCTGAGAAGCTCCAAAATTAAAATTATCGAACATTGAAAATTTTCTAAAAATGACACTGAGACAATTTTTACCTCACAGCTCCGTTAATTTTCATCAGATTTCAAAGTAATTAAGCTCTAATTGAAGTCATTTGAATTCTCTACAAACCTGTTAATTGAGAATTCAATTTGATTTCAACAGTTTTGCACCTGAGAAGCTTCAAAATTTAATTTGTCGAACTTTGAAAATTTTCCAAAAATGACACTGAGAAAGTTTTTGCCTCACAGCTCCCTCAATTCTCATCCAATTTCAACGTGATTAGGCTCTAATTGAAGCCAATCAAATTCTCTACAAACCTGTCAATTAAGATTTTAATTTAGTTTCAACAGTTTTGCAGCTGAGAAGCTCCAAAATTGAAATTATCGAACATTGAAAATTTTCCAAAAATTACACTGAGACAGTTTTGGCCTCACAGCTCCATTAATTTTTATCCGATTTCAACGCGATTAGGTTCTAATTAAAGCCAATTAAATTCTCCACAAACCTGTAAATTAAGATTTCAATTTAGTTCTCAAAATAAATTTATTGCATCTTGATTGTGAATAAAATGTTGTGAATAATTATTTTCAGGTGATGTTTGATTTTAAACAATAACAAAAATACCTTTTACGTCTTGGGGATTCCCTAATAAAAACCCTCCTTAAGTGCTACTATTGCAACATTTCCTCTTCACGTAAATCGACTTTCGAATACCGGAATAAAACACTCCATCAGGAACTTTAAATTAAACAAACACAATCACGGCTCTAATGAAGAACAAACAAATCGTTAAATTTTAAGCCAAGTTTGAAACCTCGAAAAAAAAAATTAGATCTGTTACCTACACACATGGTAACTGAACACCTTTGGTATTCCTAAATAGATTTTTTTTTTGGCCTTGTAACACATCTTTTAAAGCAATATCAGATTAGAGAGCAATTAGTACTTTTTAAAAGCTCGTTTAATGTAAAGTACAGTTTTAATAAGACTGAGACACAAGTGAAAATAATACCATGCTCATGGTATATAGAATATCTGACATTGAACATCCATCGACTTGACCTTAAACTTAAAAATACAAAAAAAAAATACATGCACAATTTGTTGAAGGATGAGGTTCAATAGAAATAAATTATTAACGTTAGCCATTTACCTTTTAAACTTGCAGGATGTTGTAGGATATAAAAGTGTTATTTTTAGGATTATATACATTATTTTGCTTTGAAACAATAATTGTATACTTACAAAGAAGATATTGAATTGAATTTAATGAGAATGGGAAATTAAGCTTTTACACTTTTTTGCTTAGTAATAATTGGCAATGGTTTTAAATTTATTTTTATTGATTATTGAATTTTTTCGCTATGGTTACTTATTTTTTAATTTGACTTGCCTTGCCGAGTAGAAAATATTCCCTTCTAGAAGATTTCTATATCTAGACCCAAAATTCCTTACTAATCCCAAAAACATCTATAAAAACAATCGTCGTTTAATAAGCATCATAAATAAAATTATATTTTTAGAAGTTGGCACATTTTGCAGACTCCTCCACTAGATCCAGATACAATCAATTTGATTTTAAACTTAAAGGATTTTTGCAACTAAACCAATTAGATTTTGTTTGAAATTACATAAATAATATTTATTTATATTTATCCTAGTTACAACAAATTATTATAGCATGGTGAGTAATAACTCTTTATCAAGGCAATTATTATTAAAATAAATTAATTCCAGACAATGATAATTTATTATTGTAGGAATGGTTTTTTTGATAAGAACATCTTCTCAGCAGCAATACATATTTACAAATACCAACTATTATGCCTTAATAATTTTCTAATTATGAATTTTGATTGTCAAAAACAAACAATAACAACCACCCATCTAAAAATATTAACAATACTTAAATCGACTATTCATTACCAGCCCTACAAACAAAACATAGATAAGGCTCATATCAATTTGATAATACACCATCATCTATTTATTGCCTAATAGCTTCAGTTTAAATGTGAATGTTGCTGTGAAATTTTATATGGTGCGTGGGTGGGGCATAAGTACCAAAAAGGCAAAAATTGTGTTATTAGTGCAAGAATTGAAGGAAAATATTGTGATAAATCATGACTCATTAGTGGCATTGAGTTTAATGGGATAAAGTCCTTGTCCTGTTGGCAGAATTGTTAGGCTTGAACTTTCTCTATTAAATAAAATCCCTCCGAAATTGGATATCAAACCATATCAGCGATCGCACATATTTCATGTTCGATTACCCATCAATTAATTTTTTTTGAAGTAATGGTTGGTCTACTACTCGCCTTGTTGGTTCTAAGCAAGTGAAAACCAACTGTCCCAGTTTACAAAAATAATAATTAATATCTCTAATTAACATTATTCAAAACTATAATTAATTAGTTCAGTCGAACACGATGAGCATTGAAATGTTGTAGTGCAAATATAATTGGGTGATCATGGAATATGGCACATTGAAGAAACGGCCTAAAGCTAAAGTGCAAAACAGACTGAAAAGTGGAACTTATTATACATGGGCGGGTCAGATTTCAGTGAATTGGGTATGTATTTACACCAAGAAATTTTAATGCAAATCACTTCGGCATATCTAATTCAAGTCAATTGTTCACTTCCCAGATTTCTTCCCGAGTTTAAAGATGTATCATGCCTATTACTTTACAAAATTGATAATAGTCCTTCCTTGCATATTATATTAAGCTGACAGGAAATAGACAATATGGCCGTACCTATTTTGTATTGTACGACACTCAAATGTTCTAGGTGGGATTCTGGTATTTATTAATGAATCGTTTTATAAAGATGGGTCCCTTGTGAAAGGTCTATCTTAAAATTAATTTCAATTGGTCAAGAGTCATGGATTTTTATTTTTATTGACCATTAGGAAATTGTTTTTCCAATGATGCAGTTGTTGACGGTTGAAGTTTTAAAATCATCTTTTAGTTGCTTGATTAAAATTACACCTGTGCTTGAAAAGTTTTATCTTATCAATGGACAAATAAAATATATTGATTGATGATATTGTGCTGGAATTCGATTCAATAAATTACGGATCATTTTTAGTATAATGTTTTCCAGTTACAAGGATTGTGGAACAAATTAAAATTCATGTAGGAATAACATTGCTGCTTTACACATTGTAGATGCAGATGTAGATTGTGGGGGGAGTCGTTTCGGCTATCCTGCGGCATATCAATCCACCAATGACAAGGTCTCGCATCTCCCCGGAGAGAGGCTTTACACATTACAATTTATTTATTTTATTTTCTCAATCAGTACACTACAGAATAACAATAAGTTTTCCGAGGGGTGGTTAACTCCTTAAAATATGTACACAGATTTCAAATCTTTATTGATTTTGTAGGATTTTGAAAATCTTCACATGATTTTACAGGATTTTAAAAGATTTAGGAAATTTTGGAGCATTTTAGGGAAGTTAGAAGAGTTTTTAGAGATCCTAAAGGATTTTTCTCGGGATTTTTAGAGATTTTAACGGATTTTTGGGGATCCCAAAGGATTTTTGGAAATGTCAAAGGAATTTTTTTATTAGTAATTTTATAGGATTTTGCCGGATTTTTTTTGTTTTAATAAAATTTTGTTAGATTTTTAAAGATTTTAAAGATTTTCAGGGATTTTAACTAGATCTTATACGAGTTTTTCTGGGATTTTGACCAACTTGTATACAAATTTTCATGAATTAACCGTTCGAAATTTAGTTAACTCCATAAAATGTTTACATAATTTAATCTTTATTTTATAGGATTTTAAAAGATTTTAGATTTATGAGATTTTAGGTAATTTTGGATCATTTTAGGGAATTTAGAAAGGGTTTTTATGGCGTTTTTACCAACTAATTTAGGGGAGCCTTAACGATAAGTATTTTTTAAACTGACCTTTCTCCATAGAAGACTGTTATTTTAAGGAATACTTATTGTTGAAGCTCCCTTAAGATGGTTGGTGGAAACGGCCATTAGAGATCCTAAGGGACTTTTAGAAATTTTAACAGATTTTTAATGATTCCTTTGTTCTAATAAAATTTTGTGTGATTTTGTGAAATTTTATGCGATTTCAAGGGATTTTGTGAGGTTTTGTTAAAGTTTAAATGATTTTCGGGGATTTTAAATATATATTACAAGTTTTTTTGGACTTGTACACAGATTTTGACCAATCAACCGCTCCGAGGTTTAGTTAACTCCAAGGGGCAAACCACCTAGGAATTCTTTGCCAAAAATTTGGGGAATTTAGAGAAATTTGTGGGAAATTTAGAGGAATTTGTGGAGAATTTGAAGGAATTCATCGGAATTTATGAGACTTTGGGGAATTTATAGGGAATTTGAAGGAATTTATGGGGAATTTGAAAGAATTTGTGAGGAATTTAAAGAAAATTGTAAGGTCATGACATCACTGAGATTCACATTCTTATCATAAGAAATAGTAATAAATGGAAATTTTGAAACAATGTAGTTTTGTGTTGGACGTTGGATATTCATTTTTATTGAAGAAATTCTCCCAAAATTACGCTACGATTTACAGGTCCAAATTTAAAAAATTCAAAAGAATAAGGAATACAGTTTTTGTAGGCTGATTTTCAAGATTTTTCATGTTGTTATTTTCCACTGAAAAAATTTGAAATTTTGGGGAAAATGAGCTTCTCACCGAGCTTCTCACCTTCCTCTTTACATGCAAAAAGTTTCAAAATTTTCCCTTCTTTAGTTTTCCTTTGAAATATGTGAGACTGTTTTTTCAACTAATTCAGTTTTTGTAGGTTGATTTCCAAGATTTTTCATATTGCAGTTTTTCACTGGAAAAATTTGAAATTTTGGGAAAATGAGCTTTTCACCTTTCTTTTTATATGTAAACAGTTCCAAAATTTTCCCTTCATTAGATTTCCAGGAAAACTTTGAAATGTGTGAGACTGTATTTTCAACTAATTCAGTTTTTGTAGGCTGATATTCAAGATTTTTCATGTTGCTGTTTTCCACTAGAAAAATTTGAAATTTTGGGAAAACAAGCTTCTCACCTTCTTCCGAGCCTTCTTCTTTACATGCAAAAAGTTTCAAAATTTTCCCTTCTCTAGTTTTCCAGGAAAATTTTGAAATATGTGAATTTTCAACTAATTCAGTTTGTGTAAGTTGATTTCCAAATTTTTCATGTTGCTGTTTTTCACTGGAAAAATTTGAAATTTTGAGAAAATGAGCTTTTCACCTTTCTTTCTACATGTAAACAATTTCAAAATTTACCCTTCCCTAGATTTCCAGGAAAACTTTGAAATGTGGGAGACTGTATTTTCAACTAATTTAGTTTTTGTAGGTTGATATTCAAGATTTTTCATGTTGCTGTTTTCCACTAGAAAAATTTGAAATTTTGGGAAAACAAGCTTCTCACCTTCTTCCGAGCCTTCTTCTTTACATGCAAAAAGTTTCAAAATTTTCCCTTCTCTAGTTTTCCAGGAAAATTTTGAAATATGTGAATTTTCAACTAATTCAGTTTGTGTAAGTTGATTTCCAAATTTTTCATGTTGCTGTTTTTCACTGGAAAAATTTGAAATTTTGGGAAAATGAGCTTTTCACCTTTCTTTTTACATGTAAACAGTTTCAAAAATTTACCCTTCCCTAGATTTCCAGGAAAACTTTGAAATGTGTGAGACTGTATTTTCCACTAATTTAGTTTTTGTAGGTTGATTTTCAAGATTTTTCATGTTGCTGTTTTCCACTAGAAAAATTTGAAATTTTGAGAAAACGAGCTTCTCACCTTCTTCTTTACATGCAAATAGTTTCAAAATTTTCCCTTCTCTAGTTTTCCAGGAAAACTTTGAAATATGTGAGACTGTATTTCAACTAATTCAGTTTGTGTAAGTTGATTTCCAAGATTTTTCATGTTGCTGTTTTTCACTGGGAAAATTTGAAATTTTGGGAAAATGAGCTTCTCACCTTCCTCTTTACATGCAAAAAGTTTCAAAATTTTCCCATCACTAGTTTTCCAGGAAAACTTTGAAATGTGCAAGACTGTATTTTCAATTAATTCAGTTATTGTAGGTTGATTTCGAAGATTCCGTATGTTGTAATTTTCTACTGGAAAAATTGGAAATTTTGGGAAAATTAGCTTCTCACCTTCTTCTTTACATGCAAAAAGTTTCAAAATTTCCCCTTCAGTAGTTTTCCAGGAAAGCTTTGAAATGTGTGAGACTGTATTTTCAACTAATTCAGTTTTTGTAGGTTGATTTTCAAGATTTTTCATGTTGCTGTTTTCCACTGGAAAAATTTGAAATTTTGGGAAAATGATCTTCTCACCTTCCTCTTTACATGCAAAAAGTTTCAAAATTTTCCCTTTTTTTAAAGGAATTTGTGGGGTATTTGGAGAAGTTCGTAGTGGGCTATTTGGAGAAATTTGTGATGGGGTATCTGAAGGAATTTGGAGGAATTTGCATTAATTTTGAGGAATTAGGCGTAAAAAATTCTCCCTTGAGGAATTGTTTGCACTAATTCTGGGATGGTGGTTTACCCCTTGGTTAACTCCTCGGTTAACTCTATAAAATAATGAACACATATTTTAAATCTTAATCGATTTTGTAGGATTTTGGTAATTTTGAAAATCTTTACATGATTTTACAGGTGTTCAGAAGATTTTAGATTTTCAAAATTTTATGTGATTCTGGAGCATTTTAGGGATTTTTGAAAAGTTTTTAGAAATTCTCAATTCAATTGACAGATTTGAATGGAAAAACGAAAATTCCTAGACATTTTACTATAGGATTTCATAATACTTTTCCGAATTTCATCATATGATTCTATGGAATTTCACCATAAAATTCAATGGAATTTTTGGACAAAAATTCCTCGGAATTACACTACTTATGAGATTTTTCCATGGGAATTCTGCGAAAATTTTTGTTAATTCCATAGAAATTCTTTAGAATTTCACTAGAAGATTTTATGGAATTCCCCGAAATTCCATTCAAATGCAAATTTCAATAGAAAAACAGAATGTCCTAGAAATTTTACTATAAGAATTCATAATACTTTTCCGAATTTCACCATAAGATCCATGGAATTTCATCATAAAATTCAATGAAATTCTTGTACAAAAATTCCTCGGAATTACAGTAAAAGATTTCATGAAATTTCTCGGAATTCCACTAAAATTTTATGTAATTCGACAGAAATTACTCAGAATTTCACTAAAATTTAATTCAATTCTTCGGAATTCCGCCGAAATTTCTTGTGGTTCCATGGAAATTCCACGGAAATTCTGTTTAATTCCAAGGAAATTCTTCGGATTCCATGTAATTTCACTGGAATTCCACAATAAGATTTCAAGGAATTCCATGTATGTAATTCGACGAGAATTCCTTGGAATTTTACTCGACATTTCATCGAAATTTTATGTAAGTCGACACAAAGTGAAATTATATGTATTTTAATTTGATGGAAATTCTGCGAATATTTCACTTTTTTTTTTTTTTTTTTTCGAAATCTCACTGAAATTTTCCAAAATTCCAAAGAATTTCCAAATTTCATAATTTTTTTAAAACTTTACTGAAATTCCCCAAAACTTCACCACTGAAATATCAATTCATTGACGTTTCCTGTAATTTCTTAGAATTTTATGAGAATTTTTTTGAAATTTCACTGAAATTCACGTTATTGGTCGAAAATTTCTTGAAATACCAATAAAACTTCAAATTTTTTTTCAAAATTTTATTTATTTCCATAAGAATTTTTCGGAATTCCACTAAAATTCTCTTTCAATAGTCATGAATTTCTGGGAATATTAATGAAACTTCAAGTAATTTCTTGAAAATTCACTATGGAATTCCACCATAAAATTTAATGCAATTCTTGCACAAAAATTCGTCGGAATTACACTATGAGATTTCATGAAATTCTTCGGAATTCCATTAAAATTTCAAGTTATTCCATGGGAATTCTGTGAAAATCCTTAGAATTTCACCAGAAGATTTTATGGAATTCCTGGAAATTTCATTTAAATGGTAAATTTGAATGGAAAAACGGAAATTCCTAAACATTTTACTATAAGATTTCATAATATTTTCCCAAACTTCACCATAAGATTTCATGGAATTCCACAATAAAATTCAATGGAATTCTTGAACAATCTCGGAATTACACAATGAAATTCTTCGAAATTGACTCAAATTTTAAGTTATTTCATAGGAATTCCGTGAAAATTTTAAGTAATTTCATAGAAATTCCTTAACATTTCACCAGAAGATTTTATGGAATTCTTAGACATAATGTTTTCGGAATTGCAGTATAGCATTTTCTGAAATTCCTCGGAATTCCACTAAAATTTTAATTTCAAAATTCCATATTTTTTTTTTAACTGAAATTCCCCAAAATTTCACCACTGAAATATCCTGGAATTCCACAAAATTTTTCATATAATATATTTTCATGTAATTTCTTAAAAATTCATCGGAATTCACTAAAATTTTATGAGAATATTTTGAAATTCCACCTTCATAGCCGAAGATTTCTCGAAAGTCCAATGAAACTTCAAGGAATTTTTCAAAATTTCATTTATTTTCATAAGAATTTTTCGGAATTTCACTGAAATTCTCTTTTAATAGCCAGAAATTTCTGGGAATATTAATGAAACTTCAAGTAATTTCTTGAAAATCCACCGAAATATATTGAAATTTCATGTCATTACATGGGAATTTTTCGAAATATCACCAAAATTCCATGTTTTTAGCCGGAAATTCTTCAGCATTCCATTTGTGGTATTTTCTGGAATTTTACTAAAATTCAGTAAGAACTGAAATTTTATGTTGGAAATTTCGGTGTAATTTCAGATAATTGTTTAGAATTCCTCTAATTCGATCGGTATTTCACTGAAATTTCATGTAATTCGAGAGGAACTAAAATTTAAGGTGAATTCTATGGAAACTCCGCAAAAATTTCACATGTAATTCCTTTTTCAGAACAACATACTTTTATCGAAATTCCATTATATTATGAAATTTTGAGAGACTTTAACGGATTTTTGGGGATTCCAAAGGATTTTTGGGAATTACCAAAGGAAATATTTTTTAGGAATGTTAATGATTTTATGAGATTTTGCAGGATTTTTTTGGTTTCAATGAAATTTTGTTGCATTTTGTAGGATTTTATGCAATTTCAAGAGATTTTGTTAAATTTTTAAAGATTTTTAGGGATTTTGAGTAGATCTTATGAGATTTTCTTGGATTTTGACCAACTTGTGTACGGATTTTGACCAGTTAACAACCCCTCGAAGTTTTCTAAATGGTACTGGGTGTTTGTTTATAACTGGAACACTCAGTAACTTTCTTGTTATTGAAAATAAAGGGCACGTTTAAGTTGGAAAATTTCTTGGTAAATTGTAACCTTAAGCGATACAATGATATTTTTTTGTCGTCATAGGTTTACAGGATGCGCCAAAAACGTATATTTTTTAAAATGGAACGCCCTGTATATTTTCGTTATCCAAATAATGTTCAATATTTTTGTGAAGCTGATTTTCTAAGAATTTTAAAAATGCAAAAATATCTCGAAAAATGTACAGGGCGTTCCATTTAAAAAAAAAAAAATTACTTTAGGCGCACTGCCTGGCAGTTGAATGCCCTTTAATGGCGTTTTCGGAGCCCCAAAATAATATGACATGGTCGTAAAGTAAGGTTTTTAGAAAGTTGGAGGCAAAGAGAGACGGCATCTTCAAATTCAGGCGGTAATCCAATAATTCCTGACTACTAGGAAATGTGTGTGAAATCAGTCCATCTTGCAATATGATTTTTAGATAATGGGCTCTTTCACTAATTTTTGAAATTGGCATATTTGGATAAAGCAACTAAAGACAGAATTTTCTGTATTTTTACTTTTGAAAAATTCATAGTCCTTCTTGAGAAAACAGAAAAAAAAGAAATACCATTCAAATAAAAACCCAGAATTTATTTCTATGACGTCGCAGCAAGCAATTTGACCGTGTTGCCACTAATTGTCGACATTGAAAATTTGTAATAGATTTAATTCTGAAATGTTCGCAAAATATCATGAAAAGTAGTTAAATTAATCACTTATGGATTCAAGATTTTATAACTTTTTTATTGAAATTATGTTTAAACACAATTTTTTATGTTTAGTTTTATTTTATTTTTTTACGTTGCACTACATCTAGTCACCACCGACAACAGCGCATTCGAACCTTTACCTGCTTTTACTACAGGGTACACAGCCGAGGCGGTAAGCTCCTTTGTAACAACAAGCGAAATGAAAAATATTTATGTGACGTCAGCAAATCGGCGCGTTTTAATTTAATTTGAATTTAGCCAATTTGAAATGCCTGTAAAAAACTTATTTAACCTTGTAGAACTTTTTTTTTTGGTATATATGCCTAAAATAGCCCCTCCTTTGGGATTTTATACTCAAATTACGTATTCAAATTTTAGTGAAAGACCCCATTGCAAGATCAAAACAGTAAACTTCAATTCACTCTAGAGTTCCTTCACAAACACATAAAATAGAGTTTAATTGTTTTCCATCTATAAATACATCCAACAGGAATTCTATAGGATATCTGTTTCCTCTCAAACTTCTTATTGTCTGTGCTCTATTTATAGGAAATGTATCCCTGTTTCAGTTGAATTCAACTAGAGTTTTGTGTGCCAGAGATGAATGTGCTTTTATTTCAACATCAAAAATAAGATTACAGATTCCTGATAAAGGTAAAAGTTAAACAAGAGGTTGGCCAAATGAATGGCCATCGAAGAATTCGCATCACAAGGTTGTTCTGTTTCTAATAGAAGATCAGTTAACGGTGTATGTTCGCCATCACCGTCTGATCGGCGATTCTTTTTTTTTATGCGAAAAATACATGTATACAGTATATGAAAGATAAACAGACTATTACGTTTTGCAAGAATGCACTGGAGGATAAGAATCGCGTAATTTATATCAATAATAAACGGTAATACGGGTTGGAAAACGGTTGATGGTAAAAGCGAGCCAGATGGAAAATTATTCTTTTAATTGTTAACTGTTTAGTCGATATATTTTATGTTGTAATTTTTCAGCAGAAACAAAAAGCCGTCTTTGCGATCAGATAAAATTCAGCAATTTAGATTAGTGAATAATGCAAAAACTTTACTTGATTTCTGTATTTGCAATACAATGGGACAATTGAAAACCGTAAAAAAAATCCCACAATTTATTATGGGAATTTTAAGAAAGTATCGGGCTTTGGGAAATAGACCGCTATTGTTAAAGAAAAACGTTCAATTATCCCATTTTGGTAATGTAGGTGTTTATATAAGAGGAAAACATAATTCGGATTTGTTACATTCACTTTATTTTTAATAAAGGACCATATTGTATACATCAACTAATTATCGTTTTTCATGCATTTTCCGCTCAATAAACAGAGCATCAGGTTTATCATCAACAAACATTGTTATCTATTAATTCTTATCTATGCTTTAATTATCTTTTGTTAGTTTGGTTTTTGGTGTCTTGAGTGACAAAGGTGTGAAACTTGAAGAACAACTATCGATTGTTAAATATTAGAATTAATATCCAAATAACCAATAGTTCAATAAACTGGATGTTTTTTTTTGGCAAAATTTTTCCAAAGTATCTAATATTAGAAACCAGGATTGTATCGGGATGTGGAATCTCGGTTGCACCTCCCACGATTACTTTGAAGTAAGTTACATTTGCACATAAGAAAAATATACCCACGCAAGAAATAAAAATCTCCAATTCAGACAGTTTATTGAGGAGTAAACTGCATTTTTATGAGGATAATAGACCTAAAATTTGGATCGGTTTCAACTCGACAAATGGATAGTTTCCAGTTAAATGTAAATAGTCTCTTGATAATGTTTAGAAGGCGAGGATGGAAAAGATATTTATATTACTTGGAAAGTGTTTATCAATAGTTGTTGTGTGCCAGATTTAAAATTTTAATTGTTTGTTTATTTTTTCCAGGGCGACTACATAAAACACCCTGTAGTTTACGAGCTGTCCCACAAATATGGCCTGCCAATGGATAATCTCAATGACACTCAGTTACCGAACAAATTGGAAGAACTCAAAGATATTATTAGAAGGTAAGGACGATCGATTTGATTTTATTTATTCCTTTTGCACAAAATCTCATCATACAGGAAATTGGCAATATTTTCTCATCATTAAAGCCATCAAGTCTTAATATTATTTGCGGTTAGACGTTTTATCTCAAAGTGGCCATCTGTATAAGGTTTTGATAGTTTAAAATCAGATATTTTGCGGTTGATTCATAAATTTTCTTATTCTATGTAATTGTCGCTTTTGTATCTGAACTTTATGAGTAAATCAAGGAGAAAACCCTATTTGATTACGTCTGTTAATTATTGTTGAGTGATTATTTTTCATTATAAATCTGCAAAACCTTATAAGGTAGTTATCCTAACCGGAGCCAGCAGACATTCATTCAAAGATTTGTAATTGTAATTTAGCTATCTTGTCTTGAGAAATTATTCAATTAACCATAATCGATCAAATTCCTTTCACTTTTTTTTTTCTTTTAGGGAAATTCGCAAAGAACTCAAAATCAAAGAAGGTGCGGAAAAGTTAAGAGGAGTGTCAACGGATCGGAAGTCTTTAAGCCACGTGGCCACAATAGTAAAAAACTCAAATTTCAAACTTACAGAGTTGAAAAATGAACTCAGCGAGCTGGAATCGCAAATCATTTTGTCGCAGGGCCAGACGTCGCCTTCTCCGAGCCTGTTGTCACCTTCGAACGGAGGTAAGAGTCAATTAACCCATTTTTGTAAATTTAAATTGCTTGTAACTTGAAATTCAATATACAGATAATCCTATTAATTCCTAATACATATTCAGCGGCATTAAAACGTTTAGTAGGCTTTATCTATGTATATCGGTTGATCAATTTTCAATGACCTAAAATTTCATCACTTGTGTTATTCTTCTAAGAAAAATTATATCATAAGAATTGCTATGGCCAGAAAAAAAAATCCATATCATCTTGGGTAAAAAACCTGCAAAAATTTTACACACAGACAAAATTGGGTCTGGCAAACCTGTGGCCAGTGGGTCTGCTGGAAGTCATTGAACTGAACTGCTGTCCCTGATGAGGTAACAAGATGGTACCTCTCAGTGCTTATTAACCAGTTGTTATAATTACATATTCATTTTTATTTGTCTGCTAAGGATTATTAATTTTTCTCGGTAGTTTCGGACAATACAACACCAGCAGTGGTTGATAAAATATGTTAATGACAATTTATTTAAAATATGTTTTGGTATTTTTAAAATTCAAGCAACAGGTTGAACGAGAATTTCTTACCTTGATACCATTTTAATAATCAAGTTTTTGAACTTGGATTTAATTGAAATTTAACGATTTTTTCGTTGCTACATTGTAAAAGATGAGAATTTGTATATTAAATTCATTGGGAGTTGGCTGTAAAATGCTTACAACTGAGCAGGGTTGGCAATAACTCGGGTTTTTGAAAATTTCTCTTGGGTTTTTGCGTATTATTGTGATAGTTTTTTGTTTATTTAAATATTTGTTTCAACAGTTTTGTACTGGAGAAGCTTCAAAATTGAATTTATCGAACATTGAAAATTTTCCAAAAATTACGCTGAGATAGTTTTTGTCTCACAACTCCTTTAATTTTCATCCGATTTCAACGCAATTAGTTTATAATTGATGCCAATTAAATTTTTCACAAAACTGTTAATTAAGATTTTAATTTGGTTTCAACAGTTTTGCACCTGAGAGGCTTCCAAATTGAAATTATCGAACATTGAAAATTTTCCAAAAATGACATTATGACAGTTTTTGCCTCACAGCTCCGTTAATTTCCATCCGATTTCAACGTAATTAGGGTTAACTCAAAGCCAATTAATTCCCCTACAAACCTGTTAATTAGGATTTCAATTGGTTCCAACAGTTTTTGCACCTTAGAATCTTCAAAAATCAATTTATCGAACATTGAACATTTTCCAAAAATGACACTGAGACAGTTTTTGCCTCACAGGTCCTTTAATTTTTATTCGATTTCAACGCAATTAGGCTCCTATTGAAGTCAATTAAATTCTCTACAAACCTGTTAATCAAGATTTCAATTTAGTTCCAAAAGTTATGCAGCTGGGCAGCTTCAAAATTGAATTTATCCAACATTGAACATTTTCCAAACATAACACTGCGACAGTTTTTGCCTCACAGCTCCGTTTATTTTCATCCGATTTTGATGTAATTAAGCTCTAATTAAAGCCAAATGAATTCTTCTCTACAAACCTGTTGATTAAGATTTTAATTTGGTTCAAACAGTTTTCCACCTGAAAATTTTCAAAATTGAAATTATCGAACATTAAACTTTTTCCAAAAATCACACATCCGATTTCAGTCTAACTAAGCTCTAATTAAAGTCAATTAAATTCTCTACAAACCTATCAATAATTGAAATTTTGATTTGGTTTCAATTATTCGGAAAGAAAAATGTAAATAACCTTAGATCTTGGATTGGATTGATATTTGGTACCATGGTAGGACTGAGTTCTGTATCACTGGGTTTTTGACACAAAAAGCCCAAAGCCCTTTGGGTTTTTGTCTATATTTGATGGTGGGTTTTTGTGTATGCCAACTCTGCAATTGAGAAATATTTCGATTAATTTACCAGGAACCAGTTTTTCCTAAATATGCCTCAAATTCTGTAATAAACTTCTTAAAACCTATCTAGATTAAAATTATTATTATTTACCATGTATTATTTTAATGAAGTATGTAAAATCTTTGACGATTATCTTTCAACTTCTAACGAGTAATTTTTCCATTAATTTAGATTCTCTTCACCGATTGTCAAACAACGACAGAATCAGCCCGAGTCACCTCAGCCGGATCGAAAATCTGGAAAAGCAACTCAACATTGAGCTAAAAGTAAAACAAGGAGCTGAAAACATGATTCAGAGCATAGGCACGTCCAGGGACAAAAAACTCTTGCTGGAGGCCCAGCAAATGTTGCAAGACTCCAGGAAGAAAATAGAATATTTAAAAATGAAAATAACCAAGGTAATTTGATAAATATACTCTTGAAAGTAGTTCATCCAATTGATCTCATTTATTGGCAATAAAACGCTTAAATAAATCAATAAGAAAGATCAATATGTCCAGTGGATTGGTAATTGTAATAAACACTTCATTTAAAACGGGAATTGCTGCATTAATATGGTATCATTTAAGTTGTAATATGAAATATGATAGCTTTATTGTTGCAAGACGTGAGGGGTTTAGTCATATCTGATTCGGGTTAATTGTGTGTTTCTGGAAATAAAAATTGTTTTGGTTTAAGATGTGATGTTTTGCCATGCCTGCAAAACATTATTAGTCAATTTACAAAAAGTGCAATTTTTTTATGTAAATCTATAACAAAGGAAATTTGCTACTTGACACAATGGTGAATATGTCTTATTATATATCATTTATTTTCAGAATAATTTAATTCATAATGCAAATGGAGTTTTTCCCGATTAAGGTCTGTCCCACAAAATGCTTAGCATTAAATATTGTGATCCTCTGGTTCCCATTGATAATCATCATTCACCCCTTTGCTTTTACCTGCTTATCACGCAATTATGTTACACATCTGTTGGTACCAGATCCAATTGCTATTACCATGATTTTGAATATGCAGACTTGGTATCAATAAATAATGACTTGGGTGCTGGGATAATCTGTTATCCAATCTGGATGTAGATGTTGAACACATTTTATTGCATTGTCTATAGTTACTCTGATCTATTTGTTCCAGTCAAAAATATACTCACTGGAAAGTTTCCTAGGTGGATCAGTCGGGATCGTATAAGTCTTACAATACAAAAGAAGATTGCCCATAAAAATTACAAAAACAGTAAATCCGCTCATGACTATCAAGTTTTTGCCAACCTAACATCACAATGTGCAGTCCTTTCCCGGGAATGTTATAGGAGTTTTGTCCAAAACACTGAAAATTACCTTTCCACTAATTCGAAAACATTTTGGAATTTCTGTTATTCTAAACGCAATATGCCTGAGATACATAATCTTCTCACTCTTGATAATAAAAGTGCTTTCATGGGTCCTGATGCTGCCAACCTATTTGCAGGTGATTTTTCCTCGATCCATTTCCATATGTGACATATACACTGAGCTTATTGGCTTGAATCCACACAAGGGTCCGGGTCCTGATAGTATTCATTCTGTCTTTCTTAAAAACTGCCCGATATTTTCTCGTCGTACAGTTAAAACTAATTTTCATTATCTTATTAATGGAGCAACATTATCATCTTTTGTAAACATAAAGGATCTTAGAATTATTCCTGATGATAAGCTATCATTTTCCTCTCACATAACATCAATCATTGGTAAATCAATGAGAATGTTGGGATTTATTAAATGTAATACTTCTGACTTTAATACTGTATTTTTTTACCTCTGTATAGGACCCTCAGTATGCTTTCCATATCCACAGAATTGAGCGAGTGCAGAAGAAATGTATGCATCATACTCATTTCAAATTCTATAGAGACACTGAAAATAACTACGAAGAAATTTGTCAAAGGCTAAATATGTCATCTCTTGAAGAAAGAAGTATTCATGACCTACTCCTTCTTTTTAAAATTCTCAACTCCCTTGTTGACTGTCCCTATCTCACTTCCAGCATCGGTTTATCTATACCACCTTTTAATACGAGAAACATCCCAACTGCGGTCAAAATTCCTTTTTCTCCATTTTTTCTGTCCACTTCAACCTTTTATAGAGATGCTGTAAAACCTTGGTAGATTGTAACTTATCTGTTAACAAGTCTAGCCTAGCTTAATTCTTAATTCTTAATTTTTAATTTTTTTTATAAGCATAGTTTACTTACAGGTACACTTATGTATTTTGGATTATTATTGTTATCCTTCCTTTTTATTTCTTGCATGCACATGCTAGATTAAGTTTGATTTATAATTTTATCATTGTCAAAAAATGGCACTGTTGGTGGTTGACATACACATTTTATGGTTTAAGTTCTTGTGTTTGGTCAGGTCAGTGAATAATTATCTCAGGTCAAACAACTAGAACCGCCGAGGGGTATCGCACGCGCTTAAATTTTGAAGACCTATTTTCTTTTTGGAAATGTTTTCCTGATATTTCCAGAATATTCAGAATTTTTTCAAGTATTTCCTATAATTTCCTGAATAATTTCCTAGATTCCCGAATATTTACTGATTTCCTATGAAATTCCTGACATTTCTGAAAAAAAAATTGATAATTTTCAAAATTTCTGAGAGATTTTTCATTTCTCTCCAAAATATCCGAACATCTCCACAATATTTACTGTAGTGTTCTAGAATAGTATATTGTGTATTTAGGTGGAAAAATGACACATTCTTGGCCGACGGTGTAAGCTGACGGGCGAGGCGTAGCCGAGGCCGGCAAACACCGAAGGCCGAGAATGTGCTTTTTCACCGAAATACACATAATATTTTTTCTGCGATCGGTTAAATACCTGTTAAATGTTGGTCTTTTGGTTCCAAATATTCAGCAGTACGAGAATCACTTTCCCGGCCTAGGCCGGAATAGTATATTCTATAACAAGTGTGGAATAAGCAAAATTCTACACGAGTGGTTTGTTCCCCGAGCCGAAGGCGAGGGGAACGGCTACACGAGTGTAGAATTTTGAATTCCACACGTGTTATAGACTATACTTTTTCTACGACTAGAATCAAATGAAATAACTAACAACGGACCACAGACACAGATAGGAACGCCTAGGGTGATTTCGAACGCACTCCAAAATTTGATCTTTTAACGATACGTCAAGTATCAACATTGTCAAATAGCGTTTTCTATTTTCCATCCTCTTTTCACCAAAAAGGCTGCAAAGGACAATTATTGTGCTTTATTGTGTTGCACTTCTTGCTCTAGCAATTAATACAAAACGTCGATTTTAGTGATTTACTTGTATTTTATAGTATTTTTGAGGTTTTCCAAGTATTTCTGCAGTTTGCGTATTGCAGCTGGTGTAGAAATAGATAAACTTTCTGTACTCTCCTGTGTTTTCAGCTTATGATATTAGATGGCGCCACAGGTGTTCATTGCATAACAAGTGATGGAATGAATATTCCTGCACTAGTGAGGGAATGAAGCTATTCCGTAATCAAAAACTAAGTCGGAATGGATGAATTCTCCAATAGTCGTAGAAAAAAGTGTTTCCCGTATTGTTATTCATTGATTCCTTAGCAACTATCGAAACATAATTAAAATACCAGAATAATGAGTTTTGCGACCTGTCAACCGGTCAAAAATGCTGACATTTCTTGTCAATCGCAGAAAAATGAACATTTTTTTTTGTTGAAATATGTACATGGTGGTAACATAAGTTGGCTGTTGGCTCCAACTCTTTGAAAGTAAACATTATATATTTTTTGCTTACTTTTTGATGGTCTGTTTCTTAGGCCATACTATCAAGGTTGTTTGAGAGAAATAGGCTGCCTGAAAACTTTTATGACGTCAACTGGGGTGCCCAACGTAATGCAAATCTCTATTTAGGCATCCCAGATGACGTCATCAAATTACCCCTTACCAGACAACCTATTAACTTTAAGAAACTTGAGGCCATATAAAGTTGTCTAAGGCAGGTGACACACTGGAGAAATAAGTTTTTTGAAACTTGTTGCAAGAAACTGGAAATTTGATTCCTTACCATATGACACATAAGTATATTCAAATGTGGCGGAGCACACTGGCGTTTCTGAAACAGGAGAGCAGAAATTATTTCGCCAGTGTGCTATTTTCTGTGAATTCTGTGTCACCTGCTTATGTCTTCTTCAAGGAACTTCATAGTAATGATCCCTATCAATGTCAGTTACACGACCTATATACCATTCATCCTTATGATAGCAAACATAATACTTTTCAACTACATAATGGCAATTTCTCCGATTTTCGAGCCGATTTCCTTTTGGGCTTTTCTTGGGGTTTCCTCTTGACAAGTTTTCATATTCGCTTTCCAAAGTGTGCTGTACACTTGAATCTGTATTTCCTTCGTGTTAGTCGGTGTTTTCCAATTACAATATTAAAATGTTCTACTGGAATTATGTAATCACTGAGTATTCTTATAAATTTGGACCTGTAAATCATGAAGTGAAATTTTAGGAGAATCTCTTTGATAGAAATGAACGTCCAACACAAAACTAGATTTTTTTAAGAATGTGAACCTCAGTGACCTCATGACCCGACAATTTCCTTTAAATTCCTCATAAATTCCTCACAAATTCCTCCAAATTTACTGAAAATTACTCCAAACTCCCCATAAATTTCTTTAAATTCCCTATACCTCAATTCCCCACATTTTTGGCAAAGAATTCCTAGGTGGTTTGCCCCTTAGAAAATACAATCTCACACAATTCAGTTTTCCTGAAAAACTAATCGAGGACAAGATTGAAACTTTTTGCATGTGAAGAGGAAGGTTAAGGGTCATTTTCCCAAAATTTCAAATTTTTCCAGAGGAAAATAACACCACGGAAAATCTTGGAAATCATCATAGAAAAAGTGAATTATTGAAAATACAATTTCACACATTTCAAAGTTTTCCTGAAAAACTAATGGAGAAAAAATGTTGAAACTTTTTGCATGTAAAGAGGAAGGTTAGGAGCTCATTTTCCCATAATTTCAAATTTTTCCAGTGGAAAATAACAACATGAAGAATCTTGGAAATCAGCCTACAAAAACTGAATTATTTGAAAATATAGTCTCACACATCTCAAAGTTTTCCTGGAAAACTAGTGAAGGGAAAAATTTAAAACTTTTTGCATATGAAGAAGAAAATTAGCAGCTCATTTTCCCAAAATTTCAAATTTTTTCATTGGAAAATAACGAGAGGTTATTCACTAAGGGAAAAATGTGACAAGATTTTGAGGGATTTCGGTTGATTCCGAAGGATTTTGGTTGGATTTCGGAAATATTTTGAGGGATTATTCACTGTGACAAGATTTCAGATTTAGAGCGATTTTGAGGGATTTCGGAAATATTTTGAGGGATTTCGGGTAATTTCGAAGGATTTCAGGTGATTTTGAAGGATTTCGGGTGATTTCGGAGAATTTCAGGTGATTTCCGCAAATATTTTAATTTGATTTTAGACTGTTACTTATCTTATAAGTATATTCGAAAGTGTATTAGTATAAACTGAAAAACGGCCGCGTTGACCGATTTATGAATTTTGGGCCAATTGCGAGGGATTTTTGGGTTTGCGGAAAGATTTTTGAGAGATTTCGGAGTGATTTCGGCGGATTTCGGAGTGATTTCGTGGATTTCGGGGATTTCGGACGATTTGTGACACGATTTCGGGGAGTGATTAACCCTTCGAAAAATAACAATATGGCGAATCTTTGAAAACAGCCTACAAAAACTGAATTAATTGAAACACAGTCTCACACAATTCAAAAATTTCTTGGAAAACTAATGAAGGTAAAAATTTGAAACTTTGCATGTGAAGAGGAAGGTTAGGAGCTCATTTTCGTCATCATTTTCCCAAAATATCAATTTTTTCCAGTGGAAAATAACAACATGATGAATCTTGGAAATCAGCCTACAAAAAATTGAAAGACAGTCTCATACAATTTAATTCAAAGTTTTCCTGGAAAACTAGTGAAGGGAAAAATTTGAAATTCTTTGCATGTAAAGAGGAACGTTAGAGGTTCATTTTCCCAAAATTCCAAATATTTTCCAGTGAAAAATAACAACATGAAGAATCTTGGAAATCAGCTCACAAAAACTGAATTAATTAAAAATACTCACACATTTCAAAGTTTTCCCGGAAGACTGATAAAGGGAAAAATTTGAAACTTTTTACATGTAAAGAGGTTGGGAGCTCATTTTTTCCAAAATTTATAAATTTTTCCAGAGGAAAATAACAACATGAGAAATTTTGAAAATTAACTTAAAATAACTGAATTATTTGAAAATACAGACTCACATATTTTAAAGTTTTCCTGGAAAATCAATAGAGGCAAAATTTTGGAACTTTTTGCATGTGAAGAGGAAAGTTAGGAGCTCATTTTCCCAATATTTCAAATTTTTCCAGTGGAAAATAATAACATGCAAAATATTGAAAATCAACTAACAATAATTGAATTAATTGAGAATACAGTCTCACACATTTCAGTTTTTCTGGAAAACTAGTAAAGGGAAAAATTTGAAACTTTCTGCATTTAATGAGGAAGGTTAGAAGCTCATTTTCTCAAAATTTTATTATTTTTTCCATTAGAATATAACATGAAGCTTGACTTCTATAGTATATGAGATGTGTTTATACATACCTACCTCCTTACTTACCTTTATTTTATTAGCAGTTAGGTATTTTTATTCACAAAACACCGTACAGAAACTAAACAATATTTGAAACACAAAAATTCTCAAAGATTTCTGGTGAAAATTTCCTAATTTCCTATAATAATTTCAGTAAATTTTCTATAATTTCGAAAAATTTCCCAATATTTAGAATAATCTCCTAACAGTTCTTGACACTTTCCAAAATTTCCTATAATTTCCGAGAATTAACCTAATTTATGACAATTTACAGGAAATTTCTGTCATTTCTCAACATTTCTGGAAATTATTTTGAGATTTTTACACCTATTTCTGACCGTGAGACACCCCTCGAGAACCGCCCATACCATTAACTGTATAATATCTACTAGAGTTAATTTTCTTTGAAAAAATGTCTTATTTGGGGTTCAATAATTTCCTCAGCTGTTGGTATAGGGAAAACGAATCGAATAGTATTATTTTACTGAGGTTCTATGTCGAACCCCAATAAATAAGTTGCAGGTATTTTAAGTTATGGAAAAGTCCTTCAGATCTTCTCTCAAAGCATTATTGTTACGAGCAACTATCCCATCATTTACAGTATTTTTACTTTCTTTATGTACAAACAATCATCAGTAATTATTAGCAAATCAAGTATTCTAGCATTTAGAAGATAACATTATATTGATGTAGTAATTAGAAGCATTTTTCCAATAAAACCTTTGACTCTTAGTGATGTTTTTCTACTTATAAAAACACTGTTCATCTTTTTTTCCAGATGAAACACGACATAGACTCAAAATCCCGTACGACTGGTTCAATAAACGATCTGTCTACGAATGGCACAGGGGAGTTTACAAACTTGGATTTAGAGCCGGTACTGGATGAAAGAATCGAAGACTTGAAGCACAGACTACGAGTAGAAGCTGCCGTTGTAGAGGGAGCTAAAAATGTGATAAAACTACTACAAAATGGTAGTAAGGAACGTGGAGAGAATAGAAAAGCTTTGCAAGAGGTCAGGTTTGTTTTTTTTTTTTTTTTAATTTGTGTCTTTGGTCAACATCTTTGCTACAATTTCAATGTGCAAATTATCTTCACTGCTAATAAAATGTTTTTACAAACTATATGTTACCACATACTAAATGTTGTCATGTTAAACACATTTGGCCCCCAACATAAAACTGAATTATTTCAGTTGAAATATTTTCAACATTAGCTTGAGAAAAAAATTGCAGGATCAGCGCCAGACGGTAAGTTACATAATTTTATTTTAAAATTTTCAAAAATAATTGTCTATTGTTTTATGTCAATATGTATAATGAGGATATTATGGTATTTGCAAATTCTTAAAATGGATTCCTAGGGTAGTTAATAAAACTAGTAGAACACCAAAAACTACCGAGTTTCTCAATAAACCCCATTAAACTAAAAAGTTAGTTAGTTCCTTGATGGTAATTAATTCTAATTTAATTGATTCCTAGTTGGCACCAACTGCAACTGAAAGCCAATTTTAAAAATCTGACTTCCTTGGATTAAAATAGACTCTTTTCAGTAGAAGGTTAAATTGGCTTGATGGACCATAGGTACATCAATAAATCTAAGGATGATCTTATTAATTTTCAGTTGGAAAAAAATTCAATCTGTTTATCATTCTTAAATCTATCTTGCCAAGACATTAAAATAATGTATGTAGCTCCTCAAGGCTCAAATTTTGGGAATTTAGTCTTTATTATTTTTATGCGTTATTGCTTCACTTTTGTATCATAGAAAGTCCTAAAACCAGAGGGACTTTCAGGTTCTCTATTCCTCATTTGACTCAACACAGTTGCCAATTTGTTAGTTTTAAAACTGAAAATACCTCCCAAACAAGACGATTACTGTGCTAATCCAAATTGGGCTTTGATTTTTGATTTTGTGTTGGAATATCACATCAGTATAATTCAAGTCTTTTTACGAAAAGTTATCTAGGCTGTGACGGTTACAAAAATAGTTTTTTTGTATGTTTAATGCGGACTTTTTTCTCTACAACGCCGTGTGTCGTCGTGTCCTACAACATTTACGTTACGGTCAGTGTTGGCTCGGTTCGCGTAACAGCTTGTGGTCCAAAAATCCCGTTGAAATTTCGAATTCGTTATTGTTTCTCTAGGAAACCATTCCTAAAATACTCTTTCTAAAAGATTAGACGGTTTTTTTTGTTTTGTTCACGCGTAGGTGTAGACATTTTGCTTATAGATTTTGTTTTTTTTTTTCCTCGATCTTGTGGGTGTGATTTGGATAGTGCAGGTGTTGGAATCTGTCCCATTATTGTGTATTATAATCTCGTGTATAGATGACACAAAATTATGATTAACGTTTAGTAGTATTTGAACTTTCATTTAAAATTGATGATATGTGTTCTCAAATATCGTAGAATCTTGCCCAATGGTTTAAAAATAGGTTCTGCAAAATTATTATCCATCAAAGTTGAACAAAATAAATGAATTTTGGCACTTGTCTTGTTAGTCACACTTCTAATTAATTATTTGTGTGGTTCTGTGTACTTTAAGGCCTGACAGTCAGATAAAACAAGAATTATTCACAAAAATCATGAAAAAAATATAAATAGAAATCCTGTTGTGTATAGTTTTTTTGTTTCAAACTAATCACAGGTGTATAAAAGTCGAGAGCTCCCACCGAAATAAACAAAAATGGAGTCTCTGTATCTTAAAATAACCTTCGTGTCGTGTAGGCAGGCACTACCGAATAAATATGAAGTAATTATTTATAGACAGTCTATTTATTTACTTTTCCGATTCAGATAATCTTTTGTTTTAAACTACTAGTAAAGTGGAACGCTCTCTTAGTTCAAGGGGGGATTCCAACACCTGGTTAATTTCAAAAATATATTGCTGCTTCATAGGAACAAATTTCTTAAAACAAAACTAACTGGTTAATTTATTTGGAGCCGAAAAGTTTAAAAATAAATCGGCCGAGTTCTACATTCAAATGACTTTACTCATTTGCGAATTATGTGTGCGTGAAAAAAATTAACAGGCACATAAAATAATGCGCAAACATATCAACTTCCATCCCCCTAAAAAGAAGTCCGAATAGTCATGTTTCGAAGAGACCCCACTTCGCCTCCTGCCCATTTTTCTGTGCACGCGGAATTTACAATTTCGCATCCTGGAGCCGATGATCCGAGAAACAGGCCTAGAACTAGCACTGAAAGGGATGAAGCTACAGGTGAGGTTAAAATGACTTATACGTGGCAACCTGAATGGGCTCCTGAAGCCTCAGACAGTGCTGGAACTAAGCAGGATACATGGACTAGTGCTTCAAATAGCAACAAGTGAGTAAACAAGTTTTATATTTTGTAGATTTAATGTAATTGTTAATTTTGTTTAGGTCGATATTTAGTGATACACCTCCTAAAATAACCCCTCCAAGTGCAATGTTCAATACCGATTACACAAGAGGTTTTCAACAAGGTAACATATTTTTTACTTCGACGCCTCCTCCCCAATCAAAAACCCCTGAAGTTGAGCAAACAGATTTGTCCAGAGACATTCCAAAAGAGCCTAAATTAGCTCATCCAGGAGTGCAAGGGGTGCTAAGGGATTCATCAGGATATGGCAGCGATTTACTTAGTCCCAACTCACAAGGGAGTAGTATACCAAGGAGAGTGGTGCAACCGTATGACAGAAAATGTAGGAGCACTTGTAATATAACTTTGTCTACAAATTTAGGAGGTAAGAAATTGTTTGTAGAAATAAACATATTATGTTTAGGGCGCTTTCTAGGTTCTCCAGAACCCTATATAAATCATTCTCAATGTGGTCGAACTCAAAGTTTAAGGTGTCAAACGCCATCCTGTACACAGAAATATCCTCTAAGGTTTTACGGTTGTGGTGACCCTTGGTGTCACCATTTGCAACAGGGCGAAGATTTTGCCGCTAGTCCTTGCAAAATTTCTCCTGTACTTGAAGGTAGATGAAGCATGGATTTTACAGCATAAACCATAATATAATTTGGTTTAGTTTATTGTGATGTCCTCAAAACAAATTATTTGAAACTGTTTTTTTTTTTGTTTGGATCAATCATCAATCAATCATTACTTACGATGAAAAAACAAAATGTCCACTCAACCTGAACCAAGGGGCAAACCACTTAGGAATTCTTTGCTAAAACTGTGGGGAATTTAGAAGAATTTGTGGAAAATTTGGATTTATTTGTGGGGAATTTGAAGGAATTTATGGGTAATTGGATGAATGTATAAGAAATTGGGGGAATTTATTGGTTTTAACACTGAACGTAAAAAAAATAAAAAAATATATCTTTTATCATGAACAATTTTGGGGATTTTCAGGGAATTTGCGAGCGGTTTGGAGAAATTTACGGAAAGTTTAAGGAATTGTTTGCACAAATTCAGGAGAAGGGGTGGTTTATTCCCATATAAATCAAAGAAAAAAAATCTCGAGAAAAACTTTGAAGCAGCTAAAAACTATCCAAGCTGCATTGGAATTATTTACTGAGGATTTATAGAGGATTCAATTAGCTTCATTTCAAGCCTAATTACGTTAGGATCGGATTGAAATTAACAAAGATGTGAGGTAAAATATGGTTCTATGTCATTTTGGAAAAAATCAAGCTTCAAAAAACTACATTGAAGGACATTTTATTTTTTTTTGAGGAAAGTGTTTGAAGGATTGGCTTGAAATTTTGCAAATGGATGAAGAAAGCATTGAAATTTGAGAAAAATAAATAAAAATTTACTTTTACGTGCTCACCTTGATAAAAATCAAAGTCGAAAGCCTTTAAAGTTTTGCAGCTGCGAAACTATTGAAGCTGCATTGAAAATAATTGATAGAGATTTGTAAAGAATTTAATTAGCTTCATTTCAAGACTAATTACGTTAAAATCGGATTGAAATTAACAAATATGTGAGATAAAATGTGGTACAATGCCATTTTTAAAAAAAATCAAGCTTCAAAAAACGACATTGAAGGAATTTGTAACCGGCATTTGCATGGAATTTGCGAGCAGTTTGGAGGAATTTGCAGGGAATTTAGGGGAATTTGTGGGTTTACTTCTTGGCCTGAACATTTCTAGGAATAAAGCTTGATTATAATTTTGCAAAAAATCAATTAGGAAAACCATTTGAAATATCGTGGAAGATAAATACTTGAAACTCGAAATAAACTAATAGCATGGGTTTTTTTTCTGTGAATATTGCTCATCAAATTCCTTCCCCAATTTCATAATTCAATTGTAAGCATCTAATTATTTTTAGAACACAGTCCTTCTGCAACCAAAATTCCAACAAGATCAAAAACCTATTCACCAGGTGATTATGTTAGTAACAAAAAAGATGCCTCAGTGCAAACTTTTGAAATGGTAGACAAATGTACTTCGCCGTTCCAAAGAATGAACAGTACCGATTCAGTTGATGGCAAAACTGCGCGAAAGTACCAAAGAAGAGGTCTCACTACACCGTTAAACCGAAAAAAATATACTCCTGGAGATGGAAATTTCACTCCTGATAGTTTAGATAGCGTAAAGGTGAGTGAATTATTGTTGTATTAATCGTTTTCTATTATAATAAGTATATTTTTCAGCCTCCAAAAAGACTGGTAAAATCTCCAAAACTCCGTAGAATGCCTGCAGTAGATGTAGATCACCTAACAGAGCCTCTAAAGGAAATAATCTCCTCAAAACAACAAAATAGTGATCCCAACTCAAAAAAACCCAGAACAGTTCATATTGATGTATATTGCACTGGAACTGAAATGGAATCTAGTGCTAGTGACGACGAATGTAGTGATAATGGCAGTAAAAGTGCAAGCACCCCACAGACAGTTTTTGAAAATGAAAAAATGAAAATTAATCATAGGCAAGCTGGTGTACGAGACATTCCTTTTAATCTTAGGCCAAAAATTGAAAACACAAAATCACCTTTAATTCAATCAGTAGAGACGAATACTTCATTGGAAAAAGAAGAATCTGATGACGATAATGCCAGTACTGCTTATCCTTCAAAAATGAGCTCATATTCAAACATGGGTGAGTAAATATAGCTCTAGTTTGGCTGGGCCTTAAATAATTCATAATTTGATTCTAGGAGATTTCTCTAATAGTGTCTCAAGTGTCCCACGCTCCTGGACAACTTACTCAATGTCCAGCTGCGCCATTCCAGAAGATTACGATTCAGTAGCAAACACCAGCTGGAAAGATACTTTTTCAGACATTGAAAGTCTTTTAATGAGTCGTTCAAGCATAGCACCAACAGAAAGTTTAGATTTTGTGCCTAGAAAACGCTATGAAACTGCAGCCAGTATCGATGAAACTCCAGAATTCAGTTATAATAGGAAAGAATTATTAGAAACTCCTAGTAATGCTAGTATACAGCCTAGTGATAGTTTTGAGTATGCTAATTCTGAGGATAGGATTAGGATTAGGCATATGGAGGATCTTTGGAGAAATAAAGGGTAAGGTTTTTTTTTTTTAATTGATTGAAATTATGATGGATCAAAACTGTGTTTTAGATCAATGAAAAGTCCAAATACGCTTCAAATGCAACAAAAACGCATCCAAGAATACATGGACAGAAGAATCAATGCCAGAACCAAATGGAATTCTAAAGATAGTGACAGTAATGATTCTGACGATTCAGGAAAAGCTTGGACGATAGTTAAAAATGCCCACAAAGAAGCTTGTCAGGCTAAAAAAACTGAACCAAGTCCAGTTAATCTGTTACCAAACACTGTTAGAGATGCTTTTGTAAAATCAGTAACGCCTCAATCTCCTAATATCCTGTCTCCAAGCTCTGTCAAAGAGTTTGTGCCTAAAAACCGCCCAGAACCTATCAAAAAACCTCCAGCCAAAGAAGACCAAGGTTCTTTAAGTGACTCAAGCCCAAATCGTTCTCCAAGTAGTGCCTCGTTCAAGCAAAGACTAAGTTTAGACCCTAATTTACGTTCCCCCTTCATGATTGTGCCAGGTGTTTACACCGAGCCACGCTCAATAGCTAGGAAATTCGGCGCGGTAGTTTCCCTGATGAAAAAACCTGGCCATCACATAGGCCCGGCGAAAAATCCGGATTGCCTTTGCGATCATTGCCAAAGCTATCGGAATTCTGTGGGTTGTAGAAATAGAACTAGAAGCGTGGGGGAGCCACCCAATGGGAAATATGTGCAAAACTGGAAAGAGTTTTTGGATGAGAAAGGGCAAAAAACGACTTTTACAGACACATAGTTTAAGTGTTGTGTTCAAAAAAGAAAATCGAAAATAATAATTGTGATAGCGAGCGCTTTTTTTTAATACGAAATTTGTGATTTTTATATGCATTTTGTGATAATAATTTTTTTATGGGGGTACAAGAGTGATTTTGTGAGTATGATGAGGTAAGATTTTGCTTGTAAAAAGGATTTATGTCGACCAAAGACCATTAATTGATTAATTCTAATCTGTGTGTGTGTGTTTTTTTTTGTCACTAAATTAATTGGTTTTCAGGCTCAAGAAAGTTTGCGTGCAAGTAGCATGAAACTAGACCTTCTACGCAAATCATTGGAAAAACGAAAATCTGAACTACCACCGGATTCGCCAGTAGCTATGCAGCTCAAAGAAGAACTAGCCAATGCGCAGACTTCCAGTCCAGTGGCTGTGCACTACACCAGTTTGCAGCCCTTCAGGGTGCGTAATGATAACAATAGGAACCATAGCACTTCAAATACTATCAATCGATGTGCCTCAGTAACAGGTAAGAATTTTGTTTGTAATTTTTGTAACAATGTAGCTCATATATTTTTTTTTTATTATATAGGTACATTGGAAGTTAGATTAATGGGATGTCAAGATCTACTTGAAGATGTTCCCGGTCGGCTCAGAAAGGAATCGGACGGCAGCTCAAGTCCAATGGATCTTAGATTTTTCAAAAAAGGCGTAACTGGCAGAAGTTCCTCAAAAAGTTACAGCGTCAAAGAGGACGTTAGTGACGACATTATGGCAGTGCTAAAGTTAGATAATAATACTGTGGCTCAGACGAGTTGGAGACCTTGTTCGCAGCAGGTAAAAAAATTTCGCATATTGTAGGAATTGTGTTTTAGTTGAAATTCTTTTTCAGGCCTGGGACCAAAGGTTTTCCATAGAATTAGAGAAGTCAAGAGAATTAGAAATAGGAGTCTACTGGAGAGATTGGAGATCGTTATGTGGAGTGATATTTTTGAAATTGGAAGAATTTATTGATAATGATAGAGATGGAATGGTCCTGCACCTTGAGCCTCAAGGTTTGATTTTTGCAGAGGTAATAAATTTTTTTGTTTATTAGTTATTCAAGTAACAAGAAAACTATATTTACATAAAAAATTTATATTTTTTGTTGTTGAAATAACATTTTTAAAATTTCAGATCAAATTCCTAAATCCAATGATATCTCGACGTCCAAAACTGCAAAGACAAGAAAGAATATTCAAACAAGTAACACCGAGAGCCAAACAAATGAACATAAACATAGTGACATGGGGCAGATGGATGAAACAATCTAGTAGGTTACAGCCAAGGCAAAAAAATGTCACTCTCAGCACCCAGGAAATACCCGAAGCCGTTGCCAATGAAACGATAATAGAAGACAAACCTGAAACTCCCGGTGAAACACCGGATCCTCAATCTTTCGGTTTGGGCGGTCAGAGACCCTTGGGATTAGCCTTACCTGTGGCTCCACCCAAAGTACCTCCAACGTTTCAATCGTCACAACCGAGTACACCGTCGCCGCAAGCTGCACCACGTGATTGGTTGCTTAGTTCTTCAGCTGCTGAAGAAACACCTCCACCAATTGCCAAAAAAAGAACTGAAGCTCCTACTGTGCCACCTCCACCTGTACCACCTCGGTTAGATCCAGAGGTAGGTGACAATGATTTGTTTCAAGTCACAATTTTAACTATTAAAGACACAGATTTTCTTTCAGGTATTGGGGATAACACTAATTTTTTTTTACCCACTGACACCCTAAAAACTATGTAATTTCTTTTAGACATTTTTTTTTTTTTTTTCAAGTAGTCCTTATTGACAATCTCAAGGTTTATAAGTTGTAGTTAAATTTTGCACCCCGAATTGCTAGTTGGCACAGGGTTGTGGTGTCCAATCTTGACTAGTTGAAATGATATAAAGAAAAATCAAAAGTTTGTTCCTTTTTGTCCTGAAAAATCTACTCCTTTTTGCAGAGCGCTGCCGCTCTTCGCGAATTCGACTTCCTAGAGGACGAGCAGGAGGTGTTCCTGGTTAGACCGGGGCCCCTGCTAATTCCCTCTACCCCAACTACGCCTATTTTAGCCTTTCTCAATGACGCGCTTCCCAGTCCTCAGCCGGTCATCGAATTTCCTGACGACGAGGTACCTACTAGAATTTATGTTTTGATTTTTTTTTTCTTGTTTGTGCTTTTGATTGTCTTTTGCTTTGATGATTCTTTCATCGCTCTTCTTTTTTTTTTTTTGGTTTAGATTAGTTTTTTCCTTTTCACATCCTGTTCCCAGCCTGCCAATAGGTCTATTTCTGCAGAAATCATAAACCAGTCAGAGCGAATTTCATTAGTTGAAGACAGTCAGAAAACTAGTTTCAACCAATGAAATTTACTCTGACTGATTTGTAATTTCTGCAGAAACAGACCTAATACCTTTCACTGCACGGACATTATTGAAGAATCCATGCATGATTTGTGTATTTGCACAAAATTCTTCAATTGTTTTGTAGGTTGCCTTTTATATCCTTGTAACTAACAATTGCCGTACTAACCTTATTTTAAGAAGGCCTTCTAACAAACAATTTAATATACGAGGTGTGACTACAAATATTTGAACATGTGAATCCATGGAGCATTTCAATCAAATTTATGTCCTGAGTTGCTTATGGCGGTTTTGATTGGTAGATTCAATGCGCACTGAGTGTATTTGCATCCTTTTAATCAACCTGTAGGAAAAAAGACAGGAATAAAAAAAATTGCACTAAAGTTCATTCCACGAAACGAGATAGTAGAGGTAAACAAACAGGCGGAGCTTGAAAATACAGAGAAGGACTGCAAAAATATGAATAACAACCAATAATATTTATTATTGTCAGGTTGTCATATGAGTCTTAGTGTCATATTTCCTAGTATTTTACAATTATTTAAATAGTGTTTGGTAAATTATTGTTAATTATTGAGCAATATAGATTAAAACAATAAGTTCAACAGATTCAGCTGAAGAATTATTTCTATAAGCAAAATTAAAATATAACTTCAATTTCGTTTACAGTTAAATTTGTTTCCTTTTTTGTTTGCCAACCAAAAAGAAATATATTTAGAGAATAGAAATACAAAACAACCTAAGACGGTCCTGCCTAGGGCGGAGTATAATTCTTTTCTAGCCAATAAAATTCGACTTACCTGTCAAAGTTTGTTTACTTTCACTATCTCGTTTCGTGAAATGAACTTTAGCTCCGCACTAGATCTACCAATCGGAAACGCCATTAGTTTTTTCAGCCTGTTTCAGCCTGCTTTCCAAAGTACCGGGCTCGGTATCGGGTGATTGTCTATATTTTGCATCCATACTTATCTCACCTGTTTGAAGAGATACCCAGAAATATCAAGCGTGAAAGTTGTAGGTAATATCAGAAACTTTGCAATGAAGTATATATAGAGGGTGTGTTACAATAGTGTGGCAAAGCAAAATTATACTTTTTGAAATAAAACACCCCATATATTATTGACCTATTGGATTAGCCTTCCAAACCCTTGGCGGCGATATGCATATGCGGATATAAGCGATGCTTAGGGGCCCAGGCACGGAGGGGGCCCAAAAGAGCCCCCTTTAGGTAGTAAAAATAATTTTTTTTAAAATAAAAATGCTTTTAAATAAAATTAAGAAATATAGTGACCGATATTGATCGATATACTTAACTGGTAGATTCCTTCTAGCTGCCACCGCTGAAAGGTCATTTAATAAATTAAAAATATTGAAAAATTACTTGAGAAATTCCATGTCAGCAATGATAGACTGCATGATCTTTCTATTTTCTCTATCAGACATAGCACAGCATCCAATATGGATATTAGGTATTATCCAATGGATAAAGGAGCTATAGATAATCAGAATTTGAATTATTACGGGCTCTTGATTCATTGGAAAACTTTCCTGAAGTCAATCAAGAGCCGGTAATAGTCAAAATTTGAACTTTTATCAAGTCTGCAAGAGAATTTTTCTAGAGACATTCAAAGCTCAAGAGCCGATAATAATCAAAATTTCGAATGATAATTAGCAGCTTTCAAGAAATCAAGTACAAAAAAATCTTATCTTTGGACAATTTGGCATTCGATGTGAGCCCCACGTTGGGCGCCATGTCGTCTAATAAAGGGGGCTATCTGAAGTTAGGTCTCGGTTTGGTTAGACATGAGGCTTTGTTTTTTTAATTTATGTAGGATTTTCGTCGTTGGAACGGTCAGCCTGACAGTAGATTTTGGGGGATGTTTGGATAAAGTTCTCGGGCCATCGGTTGAATATCCTAGGGGCTTAGCCTTATTATTGGTGTTTCTTTTTTGGTAGTTAAAATGAAACAACCCCTACATGGTATTTTAACTGCATAATCAAATTCAGCTCTGCCTTTTTACGTTCCCCCATGGGCCCCATGTTGATTCGGCCAAAAAGAGAGACAAAAACCCGCATTGCACAGCCGCATTGCCGATTTCATATGGGCCAACTAACCAGCCCGAGGTTAGGGGGGTCTAATTGTGATATTTGCTTAGGAATCCAGTGCATGCAAGCGCCGCCACTGTTTCAAACCTGGGGTCGTATTTCCGAATATTTTCGCATATAAAATTTGATACGATTTTGTTGCTCCCCATTTAATTTAGGTACATTGTTGTCAATCAAATTTCGTGTACGAAATATACTCGGTTTTTTAGGTTTATTCCTCATACAGTTCGTTCATAATGTATTAAGACCTTTTCGAGCGCGTGATATGAGATTTCGGACGCTGATTGGCTAGATCTTGGGGCCTCACTAGGGTCTTGGGTTAATCGTTTAAATTGAGCGCTGGTCGCACAAGTCGACCTCCTAATTTTGGCCAATCAGCGTCCAAAATTTCAGATCACGCATTCGAAAAAGTCTATGGACTTTATGAACGGACTTTAGTCCAGCCTCTGAATATCCCATTTTCAAAAAATAATACGGATTTTTTACTTGAATGATTATGATAACTCTTATATTCTGCTGGTGGTTTCTATACTTCACCTATCTTTTTCAATGAAAATGCAAATATTCTTTTACTCCTTTTTTACTCCCGGACTATTAGAAATAAACCTTGAAAACCTGGTATATTTGGAATGTGCTTGTTATTGAAAACCCAGAAAGAGCTGAAAAACGGCAGTTAAATAATGTGCATCGTCGTTAAAGAAATGTGTTATCAGAAAGATAGTTTCTAAATATTTTCGGCTTTCAAAAGCTTTAACGCAATATTTGATGCAGCTGTTGACACCTCACTTGAAATTCTGGCACCCTGGCTATCAATTTTTTTCAACAACTTTTTAGTTTTTTGTAATTTACATAATTTCAGAACAAAACTAGTAACGTCAAAATTGTTAAATTAAATAGAAAATGGTTATGTTTTATGTTATTATTCACCGACAGTGACTGGTACTACGCTGTTGTCATGTCGTACATTTGCTTATACGTGAAGATTCGTAAATTGCTTAGAAGGGTCGTCAAGAATTGAAAATTTCCATAACCTTCGTTAACCGTTCGCTAGAAAGCGTGTTCTGAATTTAGCGAAGAGAGTCAAAAATTGAGCACCTGGTTTGAAAGGCTAATCCAATTGGTCAATATTATATGGGGTGTTCTAAGTAAAAAAATTCAGCTTTGCTTCGCCCCACTACGTGCACTCATGCTCTTTTTCCACTAAAAATGCATTCGGGCAAATTTCCGAAAAATTATCGATAATTTCCTTTGCACTCGTTATATTACTAATATTACTATTGAAAATTTTATGGGATTACTTACAACTTTCACATTTGACATTTCTGTGTATCTCTTGAAACAGGTGAGACAGGTGTGGGTACAAAATATAGACCAGAGATAATATAGACAATCACCCGGTACACAAGTGCAACTTTCCACTTGCAAATAAGTGCAGTAAAGTGCACTTTCTGCACGCTTATAGATAATAATATTTATACATTCAAAAATTTTCAGCCCTCATTTGACCAACCGCCTGTAATACGTAGACCAGTGGCGCGCGAGCTCGGCTACCGAGACAGCGCGTACGAGTCGCGCAGGCAATCGCAAACCAGCACGTCAATGGCAGCCGATCATTTCCGTTTGATCAGCGTTCTCGGCCGAGGGCATTTCGGCAAAGTTATCTTGGCCCAATACAAAAAATCCGGAGACTATTTCGCCATCAAAGCTCTAAAGAAGGGCGACATTATCGCTAGGGACGAAGTGGAGTCGCTGTTATCAGAAAAGAGGATTTTCGAAGTTGCCAATTGTATCAGACATCCGTTCCTTGTTAATTTGTTTGCCTGTTTCCAAACTGAGACTCACGTTTGCTTTGTGATGGAGTACGCTGCTGGCGGTGATTTGATGATGCACATACATGCTGACGTTTTCAGTGAGCCAAGGGCTGTATTTTATGCTGCCTGTGTTGTACTAGGATTGCAGTATTTACATGAAAATAAAATAATTTACAGGTAAAAAATATAATTTCAATAAGCCGGGATTTTTTATTAATTTGATATGTTTTCAGGGATCTCAAGTTGGACAACTTGCTGCTGGACACAGATGGTTACGTAAAAATTGCCGATTTCGGTTTGTGTAAAGAAGGCATGGGTTTTGGTGACAGGACTGGTACTTTTTGCGGTACTCCTGAGTTTTTAGCTCCAGAAGTTCTCACTGAAACTTCGTATACACGCGCAGTGGACTGGTGGGGGTTGGGAGTTCTTATTTTCGAAATGTTAGTAGGAGAGTCGCCGTTCCCTGGAGACGATGAAGAGGAAGTTTTCGATTCTATTGTTAATGATGAAGTGCGCTACCCTAGGTTCCTGTCTTTGGAATCAATTGCAATTATGAGACGGGTAAGTTTGTAGCCAAATTTCAATACAGGACAATTCTTAAAAAAACTTCTTTTTAGTTATTGCGCAAATCTCCGGACAGAAGGCTGGGTTCAAGCGAGCGAGACGCTGAAGACGTGAAAAAACAAGCCTTCTTCAGACACATACAATGGGACGAATTGTTGCACCGGAGAGTACCACCACCATTTGTACCCACAGTGGTAAGTAAAGTTTGTTTTTAGCTGCAAATAAATGCATCAATGAGTGATTGATTGATCCACCATCTTTATGGAATGGTTTATAAATCAAATTTCCAATATCAAAATTATTAAATATGAATAAATTTTAGCATTCAATGGAAGACGTAAGCAATTTCGACGAAGAATTCACATCGGAAAAGGCCCAACTGACACCGCCGAAAGAACCGAGACTTTTGACAGGCCAAGATCAACATCTGTTCAGAGATTTCACCTATATGGCCGACTGGTGCTGACAGTAATTGAATTTGCCATTATTTTAAGTATCTCGACTTGATTCAAAGGATATTTTTAAGCTCCGCATTATAAGCTTATGCTATGCTATAAGCCACTCTTTGTTGAATTTTTCTTTTAAAAACGTTAAATTTGTTATCAATTATGGATTTTAATTAATTATTTTTTTATACGCAGGATGCATTTTTGATTCCTGTATTGATGCTCATTGCTGTAAATATTCAAGAAAATAAAAATGTATAGGCCTTTCCCTATATTTTTTTTTTTGGGGGAATTATGCATTAGACTTATTTGTGACAATATTTTGGATTTAACAAAACAGAGGTTGACTTTACAATCATTGTTATAGTCAACTGACTAATTGCATTGTTAATTGAGACATTTATTGATTGTTAAGATATATTTTTGTCATATGAGTTAGTTTTAGGCTCCTTTTTACACAAAAAAACCTTGTTTTGCTGCGAAGAAAGGGACATTTCTCGAAAGTGCCTATTGGAAAAACGTAAACATGCTCACTTTTTTTTTATTGTAAATATTTATTACTAACTTTTAGACTGTAGAAAATCGGTGGATAAGTGAAAAGTTAATCCAATCAATATCGAAAATATAAATATTTTTCGACTGCTTAATTATACCCAATTTGTAAGTTTTAATTATACATATAAACATTTTCAGATGATATAGGATTTTATTTATATTTAAAATATCAAGCATCACTAAATATTTAAGTAGGTACATAATATTTACATTGTTAAAGATTTAACATAAAAAATTATATATTTATGCGTATATTAATTGTGTTTTATTTGAGAGAAGATAATAATGCACCGACGTGGAGCATTGCGAAAATTGCGTTTACCCTGACGCGACGACCCGCGTATATTTATATTTAATCTCGGGCCAATCAGGAGGGTTTTGCCCGCATTCCTTCCACACAGGTTCACTCACTTGTCGCACTTTACATAACAAAAAAAAATAGCCCGTATTTTTAATGGTCCAGTAAAATCTACACATGTTTGACATATTACCCTCTTACAGTAGTCGCAGGGGTAGCCAAGAACATGATTGCTTCTAGCACAGTTTCTTCTAGTCTTGGGCTCCCTAAAAGTGACTGTTGTATTGCAAGTGCTGCAAGTCTCAGACATATTTTGATGTTATCTGCAAATATTGTTGTGATCGTGGCACCAATTGCCGGTTTTATTAACTACAGGTGATCAAGGACTGTTAACTAAAAGGCCCAAACATTATTTTGCTTTATATTTACTGTAAAAGTGTTAAAAATTACTTTGAAAAGTTTTGAACTTGTTGTAAACAGAACAACATAAATAATGATGAAAATATTACGTTCATCATTCGTGAACGTGTTTTATTTTGCTCCTGCTAAACCGTCGTTTTTGCGTTGAAAAGTATCAAAAAATGCCTGGTTTTCGCGAATTTGGGATGTGTTAGCATTTTCTAAATGAATTTGATATGTTTTTTTAAGCAATATTACGTGAAAGTTGGGAAAATTCGGCTTTAGTTTTGGACTGTCTTATCACCTAAAATATATATAAAAACCAGTCTTGAATAAACAAATACCGTAAATATAAACAATTGTACCCAGTGCCAGTGGACGTTTATTTAAATCAAAACGAAATAATTATTATATTGGGAGCTATTGCAGATCCGGACTGACTCGTATCTGTTTATTATAATTTTAATTATTTGTTCTGTTTGGAAATTTGACATAATGAATAGCCAATTTAAATGTTGCCTCAAACCCTTCAAACACCTTGTTTGCTTGAGATGCCTCAATGCTTTTCACCCAAGCTGTCTAGGAAGAAAGAAGGACTTCTAACAGGACATAGGGTCTATTGCTCCTCAACATGTGAGGCTGGGGATAGCGAAAATGATAATGCAGTAAGTACATATAAGGAACAATTAGAAAAGTTAAAGGTCGATTTAATCCAGAAAGACTCTTACATATGGAAACAAAGAAAATTATCATTGGATCTAGAAAACAGTGCATGTGAAATCGAAAGTGATTATGAAAAAAAGATAAAGGACTATCAGCAAAATGTTTCTCAGCTAAAACAAAAGTTAACTAAACTAAGGGAAGAGAATATGACACTGGAAAAAGCCTTGGAAAAATGCACTAGAGACTTAGAAGTGGCAAGCACTAGTTTAGGATTAGTAAGGATCTGGATGAAACAAAAAAGTCCATGTTAACAACAATTCAAACACTGGATGCAGAAAATAAGGTCAAAACCTCGGTAGAATATTAGCACAAAGATTGAATAACGATGCAAAAATTCAAACAATTATTAAACCTGGTGCAACATTTACTTCTATAGTGGAGGACATTAGCAATTTATCGAAGAACTTGAACTTCGAAGACTTAGTGCTGTAAAAATACAAACATTACATTGGTGTCTGTTCCTTTTTGAAAGTTTGATGAGAGGATCCAAAACAGAATTTTTGATTTCAATTATAACCTGAAAAAAGCTGTTCAAAAAAATGGAAACGTGTTTTTTCTAGAAACTAAACATAAGTAATTCATTTGTATCAAAAAAGTTTATTATAAATCGGTTGATTGGGGAATTTTGGGTGGGACATTAGAGACAGGGATATAAGTTATACACAAATGGCAGATGAGTGTCGGACAGACACAGTTCCTACAAATTTTCACCATCCACCTCTCACACAGATGTAAAGTAGATTCAGGGAAACAAAGTTCTTTTACGATATTTTATTTAAATATTCAATCTATAAGAAAGAAAACTGACGAACTTCTTTTGGTTTTGGAGGCTAATAATTATCCAGATATTGTTTGTATTTGTGAGCATTGGCTAAAGGCTGAGGAACTGTGTTTTGTGTCTGACGAGTATATGAAAAGTCATATATTCAGTTACTTCTTCTCAAAGGTGCTACGGTTTAACTAGCAGAAAAAATAGAAAGTTGGCTTATAGATTTGCCGTCGCACATTAAAATAAATCCAAAAACATGGACGGAAAATGAAATCGCCAGAGAAGAAAGGTTCAAACTTTTTCGAATTCGAAATAAGTTTGGCTACCTACTTAATTTATGTTGCAGTTCTATCATTTTGTAAATAAGCGATCGAATTGTATTTTTATATTTATTTATTCGGGATCAAAAAACATTTTCCCACTATATAAATGCATCGTTCCCAGTATGCAACATGGGGTGGTTGCATAGTGGGAAAGTGGTGTATAGTGGGACATTCAATTTTTTCTATGTTAAAGTGTGAAAGTTGTTGAAATTTTTATGATTGTTAATGAATAAACTACTTTTAAATATATTAGAATGTTCACAATAGTTGAAAATTATTCAACAAATTTTTTATTTCAATTAGAAAAATATTGTCCCAGTATACAACAGTCTCCCCTAACTTGATTTTATTGGGTGATTTTAATATTAATTACGATGAATTAAACGCAGTTGATAGACTTAATTTGTATAATTTGTTTGAGTCTTTTAATCTGTCCATGCACATAGATTCTCCCACTCGCATTACTAGATCTTCTTCCACCACTATTGACTATTTTTGTTCATCTCTTGATTTGTCTAATATTTCTTGTTCGGTTTTTAACTCGGGTCTAGGTGACCATGAAACTATCCTTGGTAAGATTTCATGTTCCATTAATACTAAGAAAAGTAAATACAAAGTTGGTAGACTGTTTAGTAGAACAAACTATGGAAAATTTAATGAAATATGTATGTCTATTCAATGGGAAAGTATATTCGAAAGCGGCAATCCTCTTGAAATCTTTCACACCATTTTGCAGGAATCATTTAATGGAACTTTTCCTATTCAGAAAATTAAGATTCGGTGCAAAAAACCTTAGATGATTGTTGGATTAAGATCTTCTTCTCTTAATATGAGATGTCTCTATACTCTCAGAAAATTTACTGACAATAATGCATTTCTCAATTATTTCCAACATTATAGATCCATATATAGAAGGACAATTAAGGATGCAAAAGAACTATACTATAGCAGTCGTTTAACTACAGCAAGCAATTATCAGAAAGAAAGTTGGAATATTCTAAATTAGTTGAGAGGAGTTAATAATCAATCTAGGATTAATGTTCCTGATATGACTCCAACGGTATTGAATAATTATTATTGTTCAATTGCAACTTCTCTTATGTCAAAATTAACTCCAATTGTTGATCCAATGGATTACTTGAAACATGTTCAAATAGAGCTATCATTTTACTTTTTTCCAACTGACTCTGGAGAAATCACACAAACTATAAAATCTAATAAAAATAAAAACTCATCTGGTGAAGACGGCATATCATTGAAAATATTTCTTGCTCTTCCTCAACCTGCACTTGATGCCCTTTCAGGAGCGATTAATTATTCCTGGGAAATAGGAAAATTTCCAAATACTTTAAAGACTGCAAGTCTTATTCCTCTGCATAAGGGTGGGAATCTGGATGAACCTCAAAACTTCAGGCCAATTTCTCTATTATCAACCCTTTCGAAAATTGTCAAGAAGTTGGTTAAAAAGCGGCTTTTATCATTTTTAAACTATCATCAGATACTACATTTAGATCAGTTTGGATTCCAAACTAAGAAAAGTACTGATGATGCAATATATAAATTTTTAGAGGAAATCTACTTTGGATTTAATGCCGGTGAGGCTCTCGCAGCGGTCTTCTGTGACTTATCAAAAGCTTTTGATTGCGTCAGTCATGGAATTCTGCTGTGCAAGCTTCACAAATATGGTTTCAGAGGGAAGGTTTTGGACTGGTTGCGTTCCTATCTTGAAGGGCACTCTCAGAAAGTCATCTTTGGTTCCCAAATATCTCAGGCCAATAAGGTCAAGCATGGGGTTCCTCAGGGCTCTGTACTAGGCCCTCTTCTCTTTTTAATGTATATAAATGATCTTGCTTTTGTCAATATTGAGGGTCAGTTCACATTTTTTTGCAGATGACACTACTATATAAGCCTTTGACAAGGTCGATCATGTGCTGCTTCTGGATCGACTAGTTTCTATGGGAATATCATACTCCACCTTTATGTTCCTAAAATCATATCTGCTGAATTGGGTTCTGATGGTAAAGATAGGCAAGACTACCTCAAGCAAGTACGTGGCCACCTCAGGAGTGCCTCAGGGTAGCACCTTAGGCCCACTGTTGTTTGCTTTGTTCATTAACCCCCTCCCTGGCTGCCTTACTGAGTCATCGGGACTGCTTTTTGCGGATGATTTCAAATTTTTCAAGGAAATATCTTCACCTCAGGATTGCTTCTTGCTCCAGGGGGATGTGGATGATGTCAATTGTTGGTTTAGGGAGAACAAAATGTCATTAAATGTGAAAAAGTGCTCAGTCATGACTTTCTCACGAAAAAACAACATTATTGGGTATGACTATGCTATAAATGGGGTCAATTTAGAACGAAAGAGTGAAATCAAAGATTTGGGAGTTGTCTTTCGGAGCGATGTGAGATTCAATTCCCATTTTATTGGAATGGTCAATAGGGCTTATAAATCTTTGGGATTCATTATCAGAAATGGAAAGTCCTTTGAGTTGGGAACGATTGTTAAACTTTATCATGCTCTAGTGAGACCACATCTAGAATATGCTGCCCAGGTTTGGATGCCCACAGCCCACACGCATGTGGACCATATAGAAAAAGTTCAAAAGAGGTTCTTGAGATACCTTTATGTCAGGAAAAATAACATATATCCTTATATGGTTTCATATAGAAGCATGCTTGAGGGCTTTGGGTTTCAGAGTTTGCAGGATAGAAGAGATAAACAGGCTGTGATATTTGTATTCTACCTTCTGAATTATATAAAGTATAAAGACTGTGATTTAACTAAATATATACACATTAACGTTCCTAAAATTAATTTAAGAAACTTAAACTACGAGCTTTTTAGTGTAGATCTAGTCAGTACATCACCCATAAATACAATGTTATTAATATGCAATAGAGTACTCGCCCGAGTCAACATAGATATATTTTTCACAAGTATCAGAGAATTACAGATGATATAAGTAAATCCTAGTGCTGTGAATGTCTGTTTGTTTAGTTTAATTTTGGTCTAGTATAGTATAGTTTTTTTTTTTCTTGTTAAGTTGTTTTTAACCATTACCTATAATTACCTCATCGGTGTTTGTAATGTGAACCATAAATAAATAAATAAATAAATAAATATTATGGCGTGATTCAAGCGTCGATGCGTTAGAGGAAAAGGTTTTTTCAAATCCTCCAAAAATTAAACAGTGGTGCGATGCTAACTTGCTGACTCTGAATGTTGACAAGACCACTATTCTAAATTTTCATTGTAATTTAAATACTCTTTATCTTGGCGAGGATCCTCTTTTGGCTAAGCCTGGAACTAGGTTTTTGGGAGTTTTTATTGATGTCTTAACATTTTGACACTCATATTAATAACCTCATGAAGAAAGTGGCTTCAGGATGTTATGCAGTGCGCACAATATCAAGGGAGCTATGCAATGCTTTGGCGAGGAGGGTTTACTATGCTTTGGTGGAATCTCATTTGCGTTATGGTATTGTATTTTGGGGAAATGCGAGTAATAACCTAGTACATCCTATTTTTGTTCTACAGAAACGTGCCATTTGTTATATGTGTAACGTAAATAGTAGAGAATCATGCAGGCCTCTATTCAAATCTGAAAAAATTGTAACTCTTACATCACTGTTTATTTTGGAAACGGTCTATGTCTGCCCAGCGAGTCTGTGTCACCGTAGACACCCTGTGGCAACGGTAAGGGGAATGCAGTTGTAAAAAAAAATGGCTGATTTCATTCATAAAATACCCAACTGCGTGCGGAACTTTTTGGAAGTGTTATCGTATTGCAACTCGTACATGAAAATCAGCAATGACCAAATCTCCGCCACTGGATATGTCAATATAAATCGATATTCCAAGATGGGAGGATAAAATGACGTGAGCCCTGGCCAATAGCGAGACGTAAGGTGACGTTAGCTCATTGACAACCGTATGGTTCCCATGGCAACGGCGATTCTGCCAAAAATTCCACCAATCAGGTTCATCCAGGACGGATGCTTGCCAAATTGTCAAACGCTGATGGTATCTTTAGAAAATGTTTATTTTTTACAATAGACCAAACTGAAGAAATCAGGATTAAAATAAGGTTAGGTCTAACAACCACGTTAAAATATCTAGCGTTTTATTATTGTTATCAATATTTTGTTATCAAAAAATGGATTTTCAAATTAACTATACTTTATGCCTAGTATTTTCGCTTTTTTATAATTAAACGTGGCAACATGGCACATTTACGTCCGAATTCCTTCCGTAGACTCAGATCCGCTGGGCAAACAATATGATTTATAAGCGTAGGGATGTTTTACCAATGCCCAGTCATTTGTATGGCACTAGACGGTAACACTATTTAAGCGTGCCAATTCCTTCCTCTGCCTTAGTTAAAAATTCAATTATTTATGAGAGTCGTAAGATCTATAACCACCTACCTGAATATATGTATAAAGCTTTATCCTACCCTCGGGCAATTTAAGAACTCCGTTAAAAGACTTTTGGTGGAGAGGGCATATTATGAGTTGGAAGAATACAATGGTGACACTTTTTAACTTTTAACTTATTTGGAATATATTATTGTATTTTTTGTATAGTATTTCATTTTGACTATTTGTATGATTTTTAATAATAGCATCAAATTTTTTTATTGCTGATTTCGATAGTCCATGAAAAATAAGTCAACACGTGTTTTTTCTTTTTCTTGTTAGTCGAAAATTGACGGAGATACAACGCTTTGAAATGTCCTTTTGACGTCATAACTTATAATACGTTGTGACGTCGCACATGCTCAATATATCTATATATACAAAAATCAATATCGAAATAATCATATTTGGACAAAATAAAAAATACGCATCGATTTTTTTTCGATTTCCTACAGTTTGCAATAAACAATAATCAATTTAATTTTCCATGCAAGTACCCTATTGTAAGTTTTATTGTATTTTTAAACCGTTTTACTTCCTGATTTCTGTTGAGTATTGATTTGGTCTCTAATGTTCATCTATTGCTTTTTAAAATTAAAATTTTATCTTTTTTTGAAGTTTACCAATATTCGTGTTAGACTTAGACTTAGTTGTGTTTGCTTGTTTTATATTTTATATTTTGTATGTTGACCTTAGGACCTGTAATGTTTGAATCTATTTTGACCTTTATTATTGCACTTATACTTATTATGTAATACTTTTTTTTGGATTTTTTTTTATTAGCTTTGTCAACAAAACTTGATTTTATGACAATAAAGCATATTTTGATTTGATTTGATAATGAAAATTATTTAAATTTCCGAAACCATCTGTGAATAAAACAATATTTTTCAAGATTCAAAATTTTTAATTAAATATTCAGCTATATAAAATCACTATTCACAAAATTTAGGATCATCTAACAAAAAAAAAGTGAATTTTTTTCCAAAAATCATTTTACACAAAAATAGACATTTAAGCTTTGTTTCAACACAGCAGGAAACCGTACAATGTACCGTCACGATTCTGCGCAAAACCTGAAATTTGCCCATAGAATCCGAAATTCGTATACAGAGTGGTTTTAAAACCGTTCATTGGATGGTTTTTGACGTGTTGGAACAGACCTTTATATAATCATAAAAATGTATGAAGCAAGGCACATAGTTCGACGAAAAAACAAGGAACAAGACACAACATATTTTTTTTTTCTCGTTAACAAAACACAAAATAAATTATACAGTTGCCAATGATGATTTTTTTTTAATGAAATTGGCAATTGTAGTTACAATAATTTCTACCAAAAACAATAGCTAAGCAAAAAAAAAAAAACACAGAAACAATGAATAATTGCAAAAAATTAGCACCATAATTATGTATCATAATACATTGTAATCAGAAAATCATTGGAACCTTACAAAGATGCGCTTTTAATATCTAATTATTGAACAATGTATTCAAAATTTTATCTTACATAATTGACTGCAAACTCGAACAACACTTACATTATAGGAAAAATTTATTTGTCGATAATATGTGTCAAGAATAACTTGTATCACTACAAATTGTGATGATGAAATCAGCAAGTAATATAAGATAAATAAATACTAAAATAAAAAAAAAAGGAAATGCAAATAATCAAGGCATACATGAAAGTGTTAGCGGGACGCGAAAAATCACAAGGAATTTTTTTATTTTTTGTTAACTATCACAACAAAAATTAAGCAATACAAAATTTGGGGAAAAAATCTCTCCCATAATTATTTTGAAGCAAGAGATAGTCGGAGCGGTAGTGGACCACTTTGTCATCTAGTTGATGTATGATGTCAAGTTTTTGATTCACCAATTCCTATTGGCATTTTTATAACTTTATTAAACAATTATTCATACATTAACTGGATGATGATCGTGGAACCTGGGACTTCCATCCTATTCTCTCAGATGTCAAACAGTCAAAATTCGGAAAATCTCATAATCTCATGATCAACATAAATCCTGCCAATAATAAATACAAAATAAAAAAATAAATATAGCAAACAAGGGGGTCGGAAAGGGTCAAGCAGCAAAGGAGGTCACCCCCGATGCAACAATCAATAATAATAATAATAATAATAATAATAAGAACACTAATACTTCAAAAAATGTACAAAATTTTTTAACGATAAATAATTCTAAAAAATAAATACAGTGAAGGTTCTTAAAATAGTAGAGCGTGGGCCAAAAATTTTTGTCTTAATACGCGTCAAAAAATTACACTCAACTTTTGGCCCTCGCCCTAAAATGCATACAGAATACACATACTAATAACAAAAAAACAAAAAAAAACTGATAGATAAAGTTAGGACTTATGCTATTTTGACAGTTTACTGATTACCCGGATGAGGGCTCCGTTTTCGTCTTTCAATCTCTGGTTCTCGGACTTAAGATTCTCCAAATTCTGAAACAATAATGATAACAGTGTAAAAAATTTGTTCCGATTGGCCATTAAGGCACTTACCCTTGTTTCAACGATTTTATAAGAAAATTCAATTAGAAAATCGTCAAAAAATAATACAAATTGAGAAACACAACAAAAATTGAGGCACATTCAAGAACAAGCAAAACGGCAATATTTATACAATAATATGTCAGTGGCTTTGATTCTATGTGAATACAGAGGTTTTTAATTGTAACCTGATTTGTGGCCCCTAGTCATATAATTGTATAAACCTTAAAAAATCCAAACAAAATTGAAAACTTCACAGCAATATTCAGGACAGCAAAAGGCGATTTTTGAAACAAGTTGCATTAAGAATGTTAAGCTCTAAAAACGTGTAAAACGGTACAGTAAGTCAAAAAGCGATCATGAAGGTTGATGAACAAGTGTTTTGATAAAAACGACATTATTTGAAATAATCAAAGGTATATTTTAGATGAATACGCAGCGGACAGTAGTAATGGGCAAAACAAATAACACGACAAAATAAAAACTCTAAATAGCGTTTTGGCGAAATTTGCATCGACAATGAAAAAAGAAAAATGGTCAGTTTTTACCTATTTTTTAGCCGAATTGGTGAGTTTGTTGACCACTCGCGTCAAAGACCGGTTGTCCGCCTTTAGTCTTTCGTTTTCGGCTTTCAATTTTTGCAATTGCTAGAAAAAGTGGTTTTTCGATGGATTCAACTTTTCAAAACTCGGTGTAACGTGTGCAAAAAAAAAGAGGAGGAAGTAGAAAAAAAACCAAAGGGAAAATGTGAATGTTAAAATCAAGGGTCAAGTGAAGCAAAAAAGAAAAGATGCTTCTTGCAAAACAAGCAAAATGCCATGTTGCAAAAAAAAATCTAATTGTCCTGTAAAATAATACAAAACTAAAAAAAAGGGGAGTGACAAAAATTGATGCGAAATTGCGTCACATACCTTTAGTTCCTCTTCCATTTCGCTCAACTTTCGTTCCATGGCTCTTCTTTCTCTTTTTTCTAATTCGGATAGAGAATTTTTACTAGTCTGGAAAGAATAATAGATTTAAGCAGTTTGTTTCATTTTTGTGTCCAAATTCAAACAAAATATGGACAAAGATTAGGTACATTTACATTAAAATAACTGAAAAAATTATGTAAAATTCAATAAAACAACCTATTAGCCTCATTTAGCAAAATGTACAACTGATGGGAGAGTCATTTTTTACAGACATTTCTTCAACAATACAGGGTGTCCTTAGATAAACTGATACATTTTTGCAGGTAAATGTCTCAAAAACGAGATGCGGTTTGTTCTAGGAAAATAAGAATTTTTTAAAGTTTTTTCCCTCACAGTATTGCTAAATCCTGAAATTTGGTTTTACAGATATGCGATTTTTGTCTTATTTTCAATAAAACACCCTGTATATTTTAGTACAGACAAATTAGCACGAAAAATGGGCTAACGTAAAACTAATTGCAATACAATTTCTGTGAGTGGTTTCCTAATGGACATTTTCTGTAGTAAACGATAAAAAAAATCTACCACTCTTTAATGACGCGATTATCCAATAAGTGCGGATTTTCCAAAATGGATGACCATTATTTGATATATTATTCGGCAATCCAAACCACGTGACATTCAAGATGGCGTGGCAGCCACACATAGATCAAAAAACACAAAAAAACTACTAGTTTCTGTCAGACTTAAGTAATTTGGCCAATTGTGATGTATCAATTTTTCAATTTTTCTGAGTGCCTTCTTTCATAAATTCGGGCTTCAAATCTGGGAATAACTTGGTGTATGGAGTTCAGGGGATATCAAATGACCATTAGGACACAAAATCTCAACAAATAAAAATTTGAAATTTCATCGTTTTAGTAAGAAGGTAGGTAGGTAGGTAGGTACCTTATGATTTAGATTTTGGAAAACTTTGAAAGGTCATAACTTTTTTTCTATTATAGATAGAAAGCTGAAATTTTCAGCGATTCTTATTCCAGTAGAGGACTTCAATCCCTGAAAATTTCAACTCATTTGGACTTATAGTTCCTGAGATAAAATCGTGTTAAGCAATTTGGGGTGATTTTTCAATTTTTCTGAGTGCCTATTTCCATAGATTTCGTTTTCAAATCTGGGAATAACTTGGTTTATGGAGTTCGGGGAATCCCAAGTGATCATTAGGACACAAAATCTCGAAAAAAAAAAAATTGAAATTTCATCATTTTAGTAAGAAGGTAGCTTATGATTTAGATTTTGGAAAACTTTGAAAGGTCATAACTTTTTTTCTATTATAGATAGAAAGTTGAAATTTTCAGCGATTCTTATTCCTGTAGGGGACTACAATCCCTGAAAATTTCAACTTATTTGGACTTATAGTTCCTGAGATAAAATCGTGTTAAGCAATTTGGGGTGATTTATCAATTTTTCAATTTTTCTGAGTGCCTTTTTCCATAGATTTCGGCTTCAAATCTGAGAATAATTTAGTATATGAAGTTCGGGGGATATCAAATGACCATTAGAACACAAAATCTCAACAAAAAAAAATTTGAAATTTCATCGTTTTAGTAAGAAGGTAACCTTATGATCTAGATTTTGGAAAACTTCCTCTTCTACATCTTTTGACTGTGGTACTCTTGCAACACATATGTACCTGTACTTTTAAAAGTAACGACATCAGCAGTGCCTACAATTTTTTCTATAAAAAAATATTATCTCCAAAATGCTCTTCCAGTTTTCGTTTTATGTACTGTGGACAATATGGTTCACTATTTTCTGGCAGTAATTCTCGCTTGGAATATCCTAAATATCAAAGCCGCATTTTGTTAAAACTCTTTCAGGAACAGTGGTACATAAATTATACCCAAACAAATATGATTCTAGTTGAGCGGTGGTCCAGAGAAGGTACCACTTATTCAAATGCAAGTAACTTATTGTGCGGTGGTTTAAATTGTCGACCAACAACGCCCAAGCATTCCCACGCGCATCTCTAATGTGAATTTAGTATAGTTACCCGGGTATAAACAAGCTAACACGCATTTGAGGTTATAAATTCACGCGGCAAATACAATTTTAACGGTTTTTTATTGTGTACAAAGAAGTAAGTCGCAAAGGTAAGCACAAATTTATTATTTATTAACATTGATAGCTTAGATGTACTGGCAGAGGTATACTTGACATTATTATCTTCGTAAAAGTGTTGATTTTTATTTTTTGTGTCCAGGTTTTTTGTATATGTCGTGGTATGGTAATTGTACCACCGCCCCATAACACAAAAAATATTGAATCAGTTTCCATACTAAAAAAAACAAATATCTTCAGGTAAGATGGAAGACCTACTATTTAAATTACGCGGAATGACATACAGAGAGCCAAAGGAGCAATTTGAAGATGTAGGTATTCCATCAGATCCAGAATTAATCGTTGATAACTCCGAGGATGAAGCAGACGAAACTGAGAATGACATGATTCTAATGGAACCCGAACCATACAGCGACTCAGAAGATGATCTACCTCTTCCAGTTTTAAGTTCCAAATTGAAGCCATCGTCACCTCTCCTCAAAGTCGTGATTGGTCTAGGCTTTCGTGTCCCCAGACACCAGCTGTTTTTATTGACGACCAAAAAATACTAACTATCGCAAAAAAAAAAAATTGTTTCTCCAGACATACGCACAAGTGAAAGTGGATATCAACCAAAAAGGAACACATGGATGTCTATTCTCGAAACTGGGAAGCAGCGTTCCCATGAGAAGGATTGCTCTGACTTTGTCAGTGTTATGAAAATATGAATATGGGCGACGGAGACAGAACCTTCGCTCTCATCAGGAGAACGCTGCTCCCCTTTTTCGAGAGAAAGGACCCAGGCGTCGCTGTGCGCTTTTTAACACCTCATAAAAACAAATTAGGACCGACAGGGTATGTTCCATATGCGATGTACTTCTTTGCCTCGGAAAAAACAAAACATGTCTTCAAAATTACCACCTACCAAATAATTAAAAACATTTCGTTCTTTTTGGTTTGTGCGCAGTGGTACAAAAATTGTACCACATATTTTTTTACAAAAATTTGGAATTTTTTGATGTTTTTTTGAGTTTTTATATTTTTAGGTATTTTATTCATTGTATACCAAATACTACAAATAAACGGTTTTTGAGTGGGTGCCCCTCTAGGACTTTTTTTTGCCTAAATATCCTGCCCCTGAAAGAGTTAAGTATCAAAATGCGCAACTTTGCCATAATTTAACCGACCCTGTATTTCTTACGGTTTCCGAGATGCCAATGATGAGGCTCGAATTTGGGCCACCCTGTACTTTATCATGGAACGATAACAGAAAATATCAATATTGACATTAAAAAATAATAATATGATACAATATATACAGGGTATCCCAAAAGAACCGGAACGGTCAAATATCTTGGCAACGTCGTGACATAACGGTATCAAATTTGGTATACGGGGGGTTTTTAATAGTGCCGGATCTGAAAATGATATTTGCAACGTTGCCGGTTTTATAGTTTTTCCGACAAATCTTTCAACTTTATTTTTTTAAATGCTAAGCTACAGTAATTTTTCATTAAAAATGTTGATCAAACCAAAGTGTTTTCAATTCTAAAATATCAAATTTTTCTTTCGTGGTTTTTAAAAGATATGACAATACTGCATTTTCATTTAAAAAAAACTGAAATGGTAAAATATCCTAGCAACGGCTTAATACAACGTTATGACATTTGGTATACCGAGGTTTTTAAAAGTGCCGGATCTAAAAATAATATTTGCAACGTTGCCAGTTCTACAGTTTTTCTGATACATCTCTCAACTTTAGTTTTTTCAATGCAAAACTATAGTAGTTTTTCATTTAAAATGTTGGTCAAACCAAAGTGTTTACAATCCTAAAATATCAAATTTTTCTCGTGTGGTTTTTAAAAGATATGGCAATACTGCATTTTCATTCAAAAGAACTGAAATGGTGGAATATCTTAGTAACGGCTTAATATAACGTTATGACATTTGGTATACAGGGGTTTTTAAAAGTGCCGGATCTAAAAATTATATTTGCAACGTTGCCAGTTTTACAGTTTTTCAGATAAATTTTTTAAATTAAATGCGTCGCTATGGTAGTTTTTCATTTAAAATGTTGGTAAAACCAAAGTATAAATTATTGAATTTGTCTTTTTCGAATTTTTAAAGATATGGCAATAATGCATTTTCCTTTAAAAGAACTGGAACGGAGGAATATTTCACTAACGGCGTAACATAACGTAAGATTATTAGAAATTATTTAGTTAAGTGTTCAAATAATGGACCCACTGATCTAAAAAAAAAATGGATAAACAAAGAACGCGCTTAATGCTGCTAATTCACGAGGTCATAATGTAAACAACTGGGACAGCTGTGAGCGTGCGCAGTAGATACTTGTACTGTGCGTAGGTACGCAAAATATAGCCAATGAGAATAAAGGATATTTCAAAATTTAGAACAGTTGTTCGAGAGTGAAACACTGCGCAGGCGTTAGGCTGTTCCGTTGCACAATTGTTCGTAGAATATTGACCCCAAATTTTCGCACAAGTTTAGCCAATCAAGCCGTACGATTGTTTATCCATTTATTTCTGAGATCAGTGAATCGACCTTAGAAATTTCAGAATTTTTTTTATTAAAGTCCCGGTTTTTATAAAATATTTTAAAAAAATCAGAACTTTAATGAATTTTTTCTGAAAGGACCCCGCAATATTTAAATGGAAATTGGTTACCCGTGATATTTGGATGAAATTTGAATATGTTATTGGGGATACCGTAAGCAACATTTTTTACCATGGGCACAACCCTGTATACAGGGTGTCCCACGGTGGATGGCGTATTAGATGTTAATGGAGAACTAACAAGCGGATCATTTTGAAAATTTGGCAACCGGGATAAACGACCATAATCTACACTTTAAAAATATTTTTGTTTATGCAATGCTGCCGCTTCTACTCCAAACCAAGCAACATCGCTATTTTATATGGAACACCCTATATGTGATTATATATTTGGATTTTACGTAAAATTCTGAGCAGATTTCATCTAATATACCCTATACCTAAATTCAACTGTTTTGGAAATATTGACAGTTGAAAATTGACTTTTTGCAACTGTGACAGGCTGTAAAACCTAAACGGTTAATTATAGAGTAGAACCGATTTTACATTCTCATCTTAGATTTTTATAAACTATCATTTGACACCAACTTTGAATTTAATCCATGATTAAAAATTCCAATTAAATTTAATCTCCGGTTAAATTCAAAGTTGGTGTCAAATGATAGTTTATGAAAATCTAAGATAGGAATGTGGAATAGGTTTTCCTCTAAAATTAACCGCTCAGGTTTTACAACCTGTCAAAGTTGCAAAAAATCAAATTTCAGCTTTCAATATTTCCAAAACAGTTGCACTTAGGTATAGGGTATAACGCTGCTTAGAATTTTACTTAGAATCCAAATATGCAATCACATACAGGTTGTTCCATTAAAATAACGATGTTGCCACTGGTTTAGAGTAGAAGCGGCAACACCGCAAGGTCAAAAACATTTTTAAAGTGTAGATCATGGTCGTTTATCCCGGTTGCCAAATTTTCAAAATTATCCACTTTTTAGTTCTCCATAAACGTCTAATACGCCATCCACCGTGGGACACCCTGTATATGACAGGTGAGGCGTGGTTAGCTGTCAAATATTGGAATCTTATATCCAAAAGAAGAGTGACTATGACAGATTTTGATGATCAAAGTATCGATGTCTACTAAGTCGACCAAGTTAAGTCAAAAAATGTCAACCATTTTGACACCTGTCAAAACCCTGCCAAACGGCAGCATTCATCTTTTCCCGTTTTCAATATTTTATGATGTCATTTGACATTTTTAACTTGTATGTAAATTCAAAAAAAAAATGATAGAACTGTCAAAACCTGTCATTTGTTTTAGTAGAAAGAAATACTCTAACCTGGTCCTTTTTTGTTTCAAGGTAGTTTAGCGGTGATAAAACATTAAAAAAAGTTCATGCATGTCACATTTTGACAACTGTCAGAATCTGTTAATAGATTTTTGGTTCATATTGAGTTAGTTTGGTTAGTGAAGGTTTAGTTTTATTGTATGATTGTATTATTCTATCATTATAGTTGTAGAACTTCACTAAGCAAACAAACTCAATATGAACCAAAAAGCAAAAACAGATTCTGACAGTTGTCAAAATGTGACATGCATGAACTTTATTTAATATTTTATCACCAATAAACTACCTTGAAACAAAAAAGAATCAGATTAGAGTATTTTTTTCCACTAAAACAAATGACACGTTTTGACAGATCTGTCTTTTTTTTTTCAATTTTTGAATTCAGAATTTACATACAAGTTAAAAGTGTCAAATGACATCATGAAATATTGAAAACTGGAAAAGATGAGTGCTACCGTTTGACAGGGTTTTGGCAGGTGTCAAAATGGTAGACATTTTTCGACTCAACTTGGTCGACTTAGTAGAAATAGATTTTTTGTTCATCAAAATCTGCCATAGTTACTCTGCTTTTGGATATCAGATTCCAATATTTGACAGCTAACCACGCCTCACCTGTCATATATACAGGGTTGTGCGCATGGTAAAAAATGTTGCTTACGGCATCCCCAATAACATATTTAAATTTCATTCAAATATCACGGGTAACCAATTTCCATTTAAATATTGCGGGGTCCTTTCTAAGGTCTATTATTTAAACACTTAACTAAATAATTTTAGATAATATTACGTTATACTACGTCATTGGTGAGATATTTTACCGTTCCAGTTCTTTTAAATGAAAATGCATTTATGTCATATCTCTCAAAATGCGAAAAAGAAAAATTTGATAATTTAGACCTAAAAACACTTTGGTTTGACCAACATTTTAAATGAAAAACTACCATAGTTTTGCATTTAAAAAACTAAAATTGAGAGATTTATCGGAAAAACTGTAAAACTGGCAACGTTGCAAATATTATTTTTAGATCTGGCACTTTTAAAACCCCCTGTATACAAAATGTCATAATGATGTATTAAGCCATTGCTGAGATATTTTACCATTTCAGATCTTTCAAATGAAAACGCAGTATTGCCATATCTTTTAAAAACCACACGAGAAAAATTTGATATTTTAGGATTGTAAACACTTTGGATTGACCAACATTTTTAACCGAAAACTACCATAGTTTTGCATTGAAAAACTAAAGCTGAGAGATTTATCGGAAAAACTGTAGAACTGGCAACGTTGCAAATATTATTTTTAGATCCGGCACTTTTAAAAATCCCTGTATACCAAATGTCATAACGTTCTATTAGGCCGTTGCTAAGATACTTCACCATTTCAGTTCTTTTAAATGAAAATGCAGTATTGTCATATCTTTTTAAAACCACGAAAGAAAAATTTGATATTTTAGGATTGAAAACATATTGGTTTGAACAACATTTTAGAAGAAAAATTACTGTACCTTTGCATTTGAAAAAATAAAGTTGAGAGATTTATCGGAAAAACTATAAAACCGGCAACGTTGCAAATATCATTTTTAGATCCGGCATTATTCAGAACCCCCGTATACCAAATTTCATACCGTTATGTCACGCCGTTGCCGAGATACTTGAACGTTCCGGTTCTTTTCGGATACCCTGTATACTGTCTCAAATAATGGAATGAAAAAACGCGTCACTTTAGAGTGGTAGACTTTTCACCATTGTTTCTTACAGAAAATTTCCATCAAGAAACCAGTCATAAAAGTTTTCGAGATATTTACTTGCAAAATGTGTCAGTTTATCTAAGAACATCCTGTATTTGTTGGTAGATTAACTTCTTGGTTACTAGCTATAACAGAAAACCAATGACGCCAGTCCAAGACATTATGTGAGAAAAGAAAAAAATACTTTTGACCCACAACAAACTATATTTTTTGTTGATTAATTTGATATCGCCTAATTATAGACTCTGGTCTAGACTCAATAATAGTATCAAAGGCCACACCTCGTTAAAATTAATTATAAAAAAAAAGGTGCAAGGTTAATTAATCAAAATATTTTGCGCATCGTTGCAATAACACCTGACATTCAAGCCAAAGTTATTGCCAAGGATTAAACTCACACATTGTCATATAAAAAACACATTTGTCTAAATTGTAACAAAAAAGATGAAGATTTATTAATTACTTACCACTAGATTTATTCTTTCTAAGGTTAGCTTGGTTTCTTTCAAGTCTTCGTCAGATTTTCTCAGTTTGTCTTTTAGCCTGTCGTTTTCTACCAGCTGCTCTTCGTATAATTTTTTATAATCTATTTCACCGTTTTCGTTTCTTATGTCTACGGTACTGCTGATACGTGATCGACTACTCCTTTCAGAACCACTCTAAAGAGAAAAAAACATAGTTATTTAATCATTTTTTAAAAAATTTAAACCGTTTTTGACGTAAAATTGTATATTGGTCTTACAATATATCCTTCAGAATTCAACGAAGTCAAACTAAGAGATCTGCTACCCATTCCACTACCAGGTAATGAGCTTCTGGATCTCGAAACTGATCTATCTCGATAGCTATTGCCTCTGGCAAGTTGTTCACGCCTGGACCTTCTAGCAGCATCATTCTTTTAAAATAATAATCAGTTTTGGATACAAAAAACAAACACCCTCTAACCTTAATATAATCTCGATTATTATCGTACGATTTGGAATAATTCTGCGTCAAAACATTTGTCAATGATTTAGCAGGAATCGTTAAGCTAGCATAGCCGCTGGATCCCGTAGAGCCGCGATAACCATTCGGGAAATACGGACTTTGATAGCTGCAATTTATAATTGAGGATTTTAATGGACTGTTTCAAACCTGTTAGCCAATTTATCAAGCGTAAGATTGAGGAAAAACAAACTTTAGTGGGCAGCCAAAAAAAATTATTTATTTGATTGATATGTTGTGGGTGTGCAACCATTACTAACTAACATCTGGTCAATAATGTTCCGCACCCACTGGTAGTGTGGGTGTTTTTTATTAGTTTTAGTAAATACCTTGATCCATAAGAAGAATTATATCCGCCATAAGAGGATAACGAACTGTTGTAAGGAGAGCTATAAGCACCATAAGAATTAGAATTACTTCCATAAGGGTTGCTAGAATTACTTCCATAATGGTTGCTGGAATTACTTCCGTAAGGGTTGTTAGAATTGCTGCCGTAGTACCCGACACTTCTAGGTCTGCTGTTGTACGAATTAGTTCCCGAACGTACTGCCGAAGAAGATCTATGACGAACCGGAGGAATTGGTTGTTTACTTCTCGAGGTGTGATAAGACGAGGTAGACATTTTAAGGTTTTACTAAACTAATGAACAAAACTGTATTATTGGTCGAGTATTTTTAGTTTATTGGTGCACCTTGAGCTTTTACACAACAAGTTCAATGTGTATACTGATGATGGACAGGTTTATTAATACAATTTACAGTAAGTATATCGGCAGGTTTAAAAATAAACGCCCAGTTTGTAATGTACTGCTTTTGTCAAGGCAACAAAAAATAACGCGTTTTTCATTATCGCCCATTAAATTTTATATAAAAGAACATTCAAGGTAATTAACCCAACAGAATGTCTCAATATCGCCATTGTCTTATTTATTTTGAGATTTTTGGAATGATGTCGAGGAAATTCTCATAAATTATTTGGAAAAACAAACGCCCACCCAATGAAAGCAGTTTTATAGATTTTGCTACTATAATATTTGTAATTCAGTTTTTATAGATATTTACAATTTTTAGTGCAAATTAAATTTTGTGATACTCTTACCAGCCTTATTAAAATTTTTCTCATACAACAAAAACTTTTATTACATGTGAAAAGCTCATAGGTTTCGACCAATAATAAGCACCTTTAAAAAGAAAGATCCACAAAACACGCACAACAAAAAAATATCGGTGTTATAATAACGGAGCGGATGAACCAAACTGACTCTCTTGACTGAAAAGATATTTCTGGTCGGTCTGAACCTGGTGGTGATTGAACAAGGCGCGTACACAATCTGTGTTCTCGCCGCTCGAAATTAGACGTGAGTTTTCACTTGTAATTTATCGGTTGATAGTTTATATGCAAACGGCTGCGGAAATTCATCTTATGTTTATTTTCTTTGCGTGTTCTTGAAATATTTGAGGAATAAATAAATGCATCCTGGAGCATTTTATTGAACTTGATCAAGGGGTAAACCACCATCCCAGAATTGGTGCAAACAATTCCTCAAAGGGGAATTTTTTACGCATAATTCCTCAAAATTACTGCAAATTTTTCCAAATTCCTTCAGATACCCCATCACAAATTCCTCCAAATAGCCCACCACAAACTTCTCCAAATATCTCACAAATTCCTCTAAAAAAAGGGCCTTGATTTTGAAACTTTTTGCATATAAATAGGAAGGTGAGAAGCTCATTTTTCCAAAATTTCAAATTTTTCCAGTAGAAAACAGCAATATGAAAAATCTTGAAAATCAACCTACAAACACTGACTTAGTTGAAAATACAGTCTAACACATTTCAAAGTTTTCCTGGAAAACTAGTGAAGGGGAAATTTTGAAACTTTTTGCATGTAAATAGGAAGGTGAGAAGCTCATTTTCCCAAAATTTCAAATTTTTCCAGTAGAAAATTACATGAGGAATATTGGAAAACAACCTACAATAACTGAATTAATTGAAAATACAGTCTCACATATTCCAGAGTTTTCCTGGAAAACTAGTGAAGGGAAAATTTTGAAACTTTTTGCATATAAAGAGGAAGGTGAAAAGCTCATTTTCCCAGCCGAAAATAACAACATAGGGAATATTGGAAATCAACCTACAATAACTGAATTAATTGAAAATACAGTATCACATATTTCAAAGTTTTCCTGGAAAACTAGTGAAGGGAAAATTTTGAAACTTTTTGCATGTAAATAAAAAGGTGAGAAGCTCATTTTTCCAGTAGAAAATTACAACATAAAAAATCTTGGAAATCAACCTACAATAACTGAATTAATTGAAAATACAGTATCACATATTCCAAAATTTTCCTGGAAAACTAGCGAAGGAAAAATTTTAAAACTTTTCGCATATAAAGAGGAAGCTAAGAAGCTTATTTTCCCCAAATTTTAAATTTTTCCAGTAGAAAACAACAACATAAAAAATCTTGGAAATCAACCTACAAAAATTGAATTAGTTGAAAATACAGTCTCACACATTCCAAAATTTTCCTGGAAAACTATAGTTAGGGGAAAATTTTGAAACTTTTTGCATGTAAAGAGGAAGCTGAGAAGCTCATTTTCCCAAAATTTCAAATTTTTCCAGTAGAAAACAGCAACATGAAAAATCCTGGAAATCAACCTACAAAAACTGAATTAGTTGAAAATACAGTCTCACACATTTCAAAGTTTTCCTGGAAAACTAGTGAGGGGGAAATTTTGAAACTGTCTGCATGTGAAGAGGAAGGTGAGAAGCTCATTTTCCCTAAATTTATAAAATTTTTCCAGTAGAAAATAACAAGATAAGGAATATTGGAAATCAACCTACAATAACTGAATTAATTGATAATACAGTCTCATACATTTCAAAGTTTTCCTGGAAAACTAGCGAAGGGAAAATTTTAAAACTTTTTGCATGTAAAGAGGAAGCTAAGAAGCTTATTTTCCCCAAATTTTAAATTTTTCCAGTAGAAAACAACAACATAAAAAATCTTGGAAATCAACCTACAAAAATTGAATTAGTTGAAAATACAGTCTCACACATTTTAAAATTTTCCTGGAAAACTAGTTAGGGGAAAATTTTAAAACTTTTTGCATGTAAAGAGGAAGGTGAGAAGATCATTTTCCCAAAATTTCAAATTTTTCCAGTGAAAAACAGCAACATGAAAAATCTTGGAAATCAACCTACACAAACTGAATTAGTTGAAAATACAGTCTCACATATTTCAAAGTTTTCCTGGAAAGCTAGAGAGGGGAAAATTTTGAAACTTTTTGCATGTAAAGAGGGAGGTCAGAAGCTCTTTTTCTCAAAATTTCAAATTTTTTCAGTGAGAAATAACAACATGAAAAATCTTGAAAATCAGCCTACAAAAACTGTATTCCTTATTCTTTTGAATTTTTTAAATTTGGACTTGTAAATCATGTAGTGTAATTTTTTTAATAAAAATGAATATCCAACTTCCAACACAAAACTAGATTATTTTTTAAATTTCCATTTATTACTATTCCTTATAATAAGAATGTGAACCTCAGTGATGTCATGACCCTACAATTTCTTTTAAATTCCTCACAAATTCTTTCAAATTCCCCATAAAATCCTTCAAATTCCCTATAAATTCCCCAAATTCTCATGAGTTCCTTCAAATTCTCCACAAATTTCTCTAAATTTCCCACAAATTCCTCTAAATTCCCCACATTTTTGGCAGATAATTCCTAGGTGGTTCGCCCCTTGAACTTGACTTAGCAAATACTTTAATCAGAGAGGCACCAATTTAAAGTTTCTATGGATCTGTCTACCATTGCTTCATTGTTTGTGTTATTTTTATGATTTTTCTATATTGGATTGTCTTTCTTTGTTTCTTAATTTCCTGCTTCTAAAAGTCGTGAAGAAACAACTTCTCCTATCCCTTTTAATTGATGGTTTTCTGTCAAACCACCTTTTTGGTCAAACTTCACCCTGAATCTCAGAACTCTAGAATCAGTGTCAGTATTATTAACTCAAACATTTCCAATTTAAGTCCTTTCTCTGTTGGGTCTGTTTTTCAAGAAACTACTAGAAGTTTTCTAAAATTGTTATTTAGCTATTCAAAGAGCTTCTTTCTGTCTCTTATTTCTTGATCCTTATTGGGAATTTTTTATTCGGGGGTCCTCCTTGTGACTTAATTTGATATTAAATTCGTCGATGTCGCAGAAAATAATCCCTGAAAGATATACTTAAACTCCAGTTAAAATCCATTGAAATTTCCTCGCAGTATATCATTATATTTCTCAAGAAACATATACCAAAATAGATTGCTTGCTTTCCAGTGGCAAAACAAATTAGAACCGATTACCGGTTCCAGCCTGAAATTAATCCAATATACCAGAAGTCTAATGAGCTTCTTGGAATTTATAAATATCTTCAAAAGAAATTCCAGTGTAGTAGTACGCAAAACATAGAGGCCAGCCAAGTAGGAAGGAACGTTTTCAATGCCTATACAGGGTGTCCTGATGATAAAAATATCAATGATTTGTTGCAATACTCTGTAATCGCGTGGCCCCATTTCAATCGAAATATGATGTCCGAGGCGTGCCCAAGAATGCACTTAACATCCTACGACACTGCCGTAACGATTCTACGTCTATTTGGACAAGATCCAAAATGAAAGTTTTTTTGTTTTAAACGCACGTCACCGTGACGGCAACGGTGTAGGTAGACCCCTGATTTTCCCAAAAAAGTAGAAATTTATTGTTTCTTGGCACACAGCGACATTGGGTACATGTGTCAGGGTTTTACTTTCTAATTATACTTAAAAACAGAAAAGGGGAATTCTTATTATTACAAGAAAAATTGTATTAGGTCATTGCTCTGAAACTAAATCTATAATGGTTTTTTTTTTTTTAGAAAACAAGTACAATGCGGAAATCTGTCCTCCGTGAACTCTAAATTCCTCAAACAAAGACACGCTTGATAAACAACAAATTAAAAATCAGACACAGTGTCTAAGAATAACCGGTTGAGTCATAGTCCTGCTTCTGCTGTCTCGTGACTCTATTAATAATTGCAATAATTAACGTTTAAGCTGAAAATTAACACTTGAAAATGTGCCAGTAATTATAAGGAAAATAAAGTTATCTGTAGTTTATTGAAAGCCTGAAAATTGAAATGTATCGTGGATTGAGGAGCAAATGATATTATAGTTATGGATGGTGATGAAACATTATTTATCATTTCATGTTTACATCTCTTTGCTTCATGCCAAAATCAACACAGCATTAAAATTTATATTGAACAATTATTATCATCAATAAACTGAGAATGATGGAAAAAGTTTTTGATACAAAGCAATTTTGCACCATTCAAATTTACTTCTGGACCAATAACAGATGCTAATTTTTAAGTCAAATTTATTGTACTTTGTAAAATGACAAATTTTATTGAGAGAAGCACGAGTGACCATCACAAATTAAAAACATTTTCCCAGCCATTGCACTGGAAACACATAAATTCTGCATAAATGTAATTTATAGTTTTATTTTGCACCAGCTTCCAAGAAAACGTTGGAAATAATTGTGCATGTGTCTTCAAGATCAATAAATATTTTCATACTCTATAAACCTAACGATTA